CCTCGCACCAGCCGAGCCAATGGGCGGAACCGGACTCTGCGCGCTCGTTGGCTGCGCCGTCTCGCGCTTGCCTCTCATTGGTCAAGCGTTTTTCGTCGATAACTCGTGAAGGAAGCCACGGATCGCATTTTCACAAAGGAAAATGTTGCTTCGAATGACCTCAGCGACCCGCCCTTTCCGTATCACGTAACATTTTTGGGACATCCTGTACGTCGACGTTTCGATGAGACGCATGATCGCGAAACGTAGGCGTGTTACTTGATATAATTTCGCAACGTTTTTTATAGTCCGTGGAGATTTCTCTTATTAATTCAAGGCATTGCGGTTTTCTTACGTTTTTATTTAACCGTGTACCAAGTCATTCTCTATATGTTTTTTTCTCTCTTTTTTTGTAATTGTATAACTAATGGATAACTTTCAGTACGTACTCAATAAACAAATAAATAAATAATTATTCATCGAATGCCTCTTCGTTTCCAAAATATTTGAATTGCTCTTGCAAATCTTCTCGTTCTTTCAATGTCACCATTATCGTTTTCTTGGACCCGTTACTTCTTTCCGTGTGTTCCTTTTCAATTTACGGAAAAGATCGACAAACTGTTACAAAATATTATCGGGGGTCGCGCGAGCGATAACATCCGCACGCGATAACGCCGGTCCTTTGAAATTCGCGTGTTACATGATCGTTACAACGGCCAGATTAGTCGGCTATCGTTTATAGTTTCATAACCGTCTGCGCGTCATTTGATTTGATTATCGAGTCTGGTAGCCAGCCTGTGCACGATCGCGACAATATGAATTTTTCGATTATTATTTATAGAGCAAATTGTTGCTATTCTGCCCCTCGTTGGTCGAATTGTCCTAACTAATATTTCCGATTAGTAAAAGAAATAAATTTTGTTCTCGTGGATTGCAGCATCTGTTGTCAGGCAGGAACTTCTTTCTCTCTTTAACAATTTTAATAACTCGATAATAATACGATGACATTCTTAAATTCTCTTAATTCGTCTATTGTTTCAAATTCGATCTACTCGTTCTCATCATGAATGCATAAGATCACTTTTTTAATAGGTGAAAGTAAATCAATAAAATTACATCAGGAACGGTATAGTCATCGCGCGACTAAAAGGCATCTTTGTGTTTGTGTCCCCCCTCTTACTAGCTGCGGTAGTGGGGGAATGTAAACGCACAAAGGTGCCTTCTTGCCGCACGAGGACTATACTGTTCCTAATGTAATTTCATTGATTTACTTGAAATGATAAAAAAGAATTTTATTATCAATTTCAAGCTTCATTTTTTGGATGATCGCTGGACCGTGGATTTTATGCATTTATGATGATAATTAATAGATCGCATTTAAGAGTGTTATCATATTATTTTTAAGTTATTAGAATTGTTAATTGAATACACATAGAATACTGTAGTATACTATTCTATACATAGAACACTATAGTTTACTATTCTATACATAGAATACTGTAGTATACTATTCCTGTCTCTTATACACATCTAGATGTGTATAAGAGACAGGAATAGTATACTACAGTATTCTATGTATAGAATAGTAAACTATAGTGTTCTATGTATAGAATAGTATACTACCTGTCTCTTATACACATCTAGATGTGTATAAGAGACAGCTACTATACACAGAATACTGTAGTATACTATTCTATACATAGAATAATATAGTATACTATACTATACATAGAATACTGTAGTATACTATTCTATACATAGAATAATATAGTATACTATACTATACATAGAATACTGTAGTATACTATTCTATACATAGAATAATATAGTATACTCTACTATACACAGAATACTGTAGTATACTATTCTATACATAGAATACTGTAGTATACTATTCTACTGGGTGTCCCAAAAATTTCTCTCAATCCGGAAATGACGGGTTCCTCAGATCATTTGAAGCAACTTTTTCCTTTACAAAAATTTTCTCCGAGGCATCGTTAACGAGTTATTGACGAAAAACAGTGACCAATAAGAATCGAGTGCGGCTGACGCGAGGCGGTCCAGCCAACCAGCGCACGAAACCCAGTTCCGCTCATTGGCTCGATCGCTTCGCGCCAGCTTCAAATGACCTGAGGAATCTGCCACTTTCGGATTGCGAGACATTTTTAGGACACCCTATATACATAGAATAATACAGTATACTATACTATACGTAGAATACTGTAGTATACTATTCTATATATAGTATACTATATTATGCCATACATAGAATATTCTAGCTTTGCTTAAAAGGTGAAAGGCTCATGATTTTCCAAATACTTGTAAATATTAAATATTGTAAATTACTACGACGCTGTCCTCGCCGAGTAGAAAACAATGGAGGAATTGTTCTCGACATCGATTTTCATTATTTCGTCAGTGATACTTCACAACAAAGTCGACAATAATTTCACGAAATAGCTGAAAGTCCAAGAAGCTTCTTTCTCGTCGAATTGTTTATCATGCAAACGAACGATTCGAACGATTTCCTATTTCGCTTCCTCCCGTCCTGTCTACCCGGCAACGAACCGACCGTGGGAAAGCGGGAACTGCGCGAAAATATCCACGGCTCCCGATAGGCGGATGCACAATGCCAGCCGCATCGCATTACACAAGACTAATGTCATCCTTCGCGTTTCGGTTCCCATGTTATTATTGCATCAACGACTTCCATTCTGCCGACTCACAGGATTTAAGCTCGTCCCTTTGGCATTGATAGGCTCGTCATTTTAGGCGGACGGATACGCTTACCTGGAAACCAGTTCCTGAAATCGGTTCTTCGGTTATTCCAGTTTTTACGAAGCGACGCGATAAAAATAGAAACAGAAACGGCGGATCTTTAGACGAGCCTCCATTCTTCTTCCTCCTTGCTCTTTTTAGACAAAGAATTCTGCTGACGAGAATTCTTTTCGAACGTGTGATACTGTTAATTTATGGCAAAAAAGAAGAATACGTTCTTTTGGATTTTATAACACCATAAATTCAATTATAACACCAAGAATCGCGACCTTCTATTAAACGTGTGTATTAATTAACGTTTTTTATCTTTTATTATTGTATAATAATGTTTCATTATAGTGGCATTTACTATATGGTATTTATTTAATAAACCATATGGAATTTATTTAATACATGGCATTTATTTAACATATGATATATGAAGATTTACTTTAATGGCTTTAATTTACTTTTTTTAGTTTAATTTGGTTTACTGTTTTCGTCTTTTTTCCATAAAAGGCTGAAGAAGATCGCGGACGTACGCGATCTATCGCCGCCTCGCGCCAGCCGCGCTCGCCTCTCATTGGTCACGGTTTTTCATCAATAACTCGTGAACGAAGCCACGGATCGCATTTTGGCAAAGGAAAAAGTTGCTTCGAATAACCTCAGCAACCCGCTATTTCCGTATCGCACGATATTTTTGGGACACCCTGTACGTAGACGTTCCGATGAGACGCGCGATCACGAAACTGTTACTGACTGGTGTAATTTTATTGACCAGTTTTTTAAATAATTACAGCATAGAAAGGAACATCGATCAAAGCGAGGAAAAAAACCGCTGTCAACATTAGCTCGGAAACGAATCGATAATTACAACCGATCGATGATGACTAACGCACATGTTGCAATATATACATATATATCGGTTAATGATTGCGCATTATTATCGCGTTTGCTCGCTTTTTTTCGGTCCCGAGCTTACACCGCGTGAGATCATCGGGCGCAGATTCATCGACCAGCAACTCGCTCGTGACCGAACAGCAATATTTTTTTCTGCGCTATTCGCAGACACGAAATCCTCGCGAAATCGTGACCGGTCGCGCTGCCGTCGTTATACAACAGCAAGTTTGTTGCGCGCAAAAAATGATTATTGCATATTCGTCGTAACCGGCGATTAGTTGATCGACAAACACCGGCTGCGGCCTGTGATATTTTTTCGAACCGTGCCACCTTGACCCGAATGGTTGCGATTTCTTCAAGTTTCGCTGACTCTCGCCGAAACACACCAATGAAAGCACTGCGCAGTTCTCGGTGCTTTCTGGTGCCACACTTTTTTGTTTCCTTTTTTTCCCAAGAAAATGCGATACAGATAACGCGAAATTGTATAATCGTTGGTCCGCGGATTTTTACGCGGTTACAACGAAAATAACCGCATAAAATGCAACGCTGTGAAATTGTTCGAAGCACTTTCAACTAATTCGAACTAATTTCAGCTAATTAAAATTATCGGGACATGAAACGAAGGTCGACCTAGCCGACTGTATCGTGCAACTCACGTGCAGATAATTTTAATTTTTCATTAAAAATTCGCAATCTAAAAACGTCGATGTATTATTTCTAATTCATTGAAACGAATAACGTTGGGGAAAACTTAGTTTCTATTTCTTGCAATTATCGATGCAAATCGATTTTTATTTCGCGTAAAAATCCGCGGTTTAGTAACAAACATTTCGGTCGAAGGAAATAACAAATAATAATAATAAGGTATTCAGTAAATTCTCTCCAATTCTCTTCGAGCCTCGCGGCTTCATTTTATAGCCGCCGATTGTCAACAACCATAAAGGGTGCCCCATAATTATGTTAACGCCCAGGAGTGATTCCTGAGGCCATTTGAAGCAACTTTTTCCTTAGCGAAAATGCAATCCGCTGCTTCGTTTACGAGTTATTAATGAAAAACAGTGACCAATGAGACGCGAGATCAACTGGCGCGCGGCGGCCGAGCCAGCGAGCGGTCGGAGCTCGGCTCCCTCGGAACTTCCCTCAGCAGAACTGGCCCTCGCGCCAGCCGAGCTCGCGTCTCATTGGTCAAGCGTTTTTTGTTGATAACTCGTGAACGAAGCCGCGGATTGCATTTGCGCTAAGGAAAAAGTTGCTTCAAATGGCCTCAGGAATCACCTCGTTCCGAGTGTTAACGTAATTATGGGACACATAATTAATAACATAATTATCTGTGGAACAATCGTAGAGAATTTACTGTAATTATATGTATTTTGGTCGCGACTTTTATATGCACGTTGCTGCTATTGTAATTACAATTTCATTGTTTTTCTTGTTGCAGCGTACAAAGAAATTCTCCATGGCGTCAACGGGGAATTCAAGGCTGGCGAACTGGTCGCCATTATGGGACCCTCCGGCGCCGGAAAGTCCACTTTGTTGAACGTATTAGCCGGCTATACGTAAGTCAACTGTGCCCAATGTAAACTTAACCCTCCGGCGATTATGGCCTTTCGCGAACGCCGCCGGCACTCGTCATCTTTTTTTGTACATATTTTCGGGCCCCAATTGTTGTCGTTCCGTGCCGTATAAATCTGAAAGAAGTTCCGAGTTTAATATTTAAATTACCGTCGATGTTTGAACATCGTTTCGAAGAAATTGAACAAAGAAACTTTCGACTGGGTCCAAACGAGCTGACGGAGGTTTAAAAAATGGACGATTTGGGAATAAATTTATAGTTAAAATTCAGTTAAAATTAAATTTAGTTAAATGAGGATTTTGCAAATTGGTTGTAAAAATATGACAGTGCCACTAATAATGCAAAGTACAATTTCTGTTATTTATTTATTTATTTATTTATTTATTTATTCATTATACAAGTGAGAACCCATTAGAACAAATTGTCCATTTTTGTGTACAGTCTGAGCGTCAATTAGGGGGAATTTACTGTACTATGACGGTATACAATAAATTCTCCTTAACCCTTTGCAACTTGAGTGTTACATCACCTTCCAAGATAACTTTTATATTATAAAAATCTAGACGTAAAAAATTATTAAAAGTCTAATTGTTGTACGAGTCGCAAGACTATAAATTTCGTATGCATAAAATGCACTTTGTCATATAAAATGGAAATACCGCAAGTCAGAAAAATTAATTTAGATTTACAATGATTGAAAATGACTTTGAGTGCAGAGGGTTAATTGACGCTCAGCTTGGAAATAAAAATGGACAATTTGGGAAGAAAGGGCTCGAATAATCGTATCTCCTCTTTCCTAAGTGTCCATTTTTGCTTCCGAGCTGAACGTCATTTAGTTATTAGTTAGCGTCATCTTTTACTGTATTACTTAACCTCTGATTCGTATTTTTCCAAATCATGTCGATCGAATCACTGTACCACGATTTCCTCCTGACTAATCATTAACGCGGTCCCGATGAATCGATTGTGTCACTGTATAATACAATGATGTCCTCGTACTTAACCTTCGGATCAGGCATAGCAAGTTAATCGTGCCACTGTACCACGATGTCCTTGTCGCCGACTCCGTTCTACTCCGCGCCTTTAAATTCTTATCTGAATCCTAGCGAATCGGTCTGACGTTTTACAACGACGTCCTTGCATTCGAGTGAAGGGAACGCGTTTATACGTGCTTCTAAAAGTAAACTAAGTTCAAAGTAATCTTTTAAACCGTAGCACTTGGTCGATCTTTGTTGGTATACAGTAATGTCTCTCTAATTGACGCCCAGATTGCGCACAAAAATGGACAATTTTGGGGAGAGGAGATACGATTGTTCGAGTCTTGACATAACCTTGGCAATTTGTAACTGTAAAAACGAACTGCAAGGCTCGAATAATCGTGTCTCATCTTCTAAAAATTGTCCATTTTTGTGGACAATCTGAGCGTCAATTAGAGAGACATCACTGTACAGTAATGTCTCCCTAACTGACGCTAAGACTGTGCACAGAAATGGACAATATGGGAAGAGGAGATATGATTGTTCGAGCCTTGCATCATAACGTTGACATAACCTTGACAATTCGTAACTATAAAAACGAGAGGCATAAAAGTTAAACTATAAAAATTCGAGAGACATTACTGTACAGTAATGTATCTCTAATTGACACCCAGATTGACCACAATAATGGGCAATTTGGGAAAAGGAGATACGATTATTCGAGCCCTGCGGTTCGTTTTTACAGTTACAAATTGCCAAGGTTATGTCAAGGCTCGAACAATCGTATCTCCTCTCTCCCAAATTGTCCATTTTAGTGGACAATCTGAGCGTCAGTAAGGGAGACATTACTGTATACGGTAATTTCTCCCTAATTCCCGTTTTTACAGTTGTTGACAATCGGTAAATTATATAAAAACGAGCCGCGAGGCTCGAATAATCGCATCCTCTTTTCCCAAGTTGCCCATTTTTGTGCGCAATCCGAGCTCGAATTAGGGAGAAATTACTATACTTACCAGCAACTCGGAGCAGTCGTGATTTTGCTGCACAGAATTAAATAAAAATCATTGCGTTGCTGTGAGATTTTATAGGAATTAATAAACCAAAGATTTTGTATTTTTACTCGGGTATTTCACGTGATCGCCTTGCAGAATTAGAAAAAATATATATAATAAAAGGTATGCCACACGAATATACACTGCTCAACAAAATTATACCGTGGAAAAATCTTGTATAAAAGTTGGCCAACTTCGACCGACGACAACTTCGCGAATAATTATCGCAGGACGATGATCTTTGTCTCAAATCGAAGCTTGAAATTTCTACTTTAAGACCGCGTTCCCCGATTTTAAGTTATGGAAGATCCGATCGGCAAGCACCTCGTGATGCGCACCGGACAACACCGACGCCGATGATACCTGAGAAAAATACAGGGGTACTTTACAAGTGCTGTAACTTCGCGAGAAAAAATCGTAGCCGCGTTCCATTTCGTTCAAATTAACGGGAAAGGATCGTGCTTCGTTCGAGCGCAAACGGCATCCCCGGAAAAAATTTGACGAAGTCCGTGCATTTCGCAAAACTTCGCATTCTTCGATACGTCAGAAATCGTCATTTTTCAATGAGTGGCCTCGCATTTGAAGGGTCACAGTGGCGAGGCCGCGTCGAGCTTAAAATCGAGAAAGAGCGTCTCGAAGCAGAAGCTTCGAGCTCCAATTTGAAACAAGAATCATCGTCCTGCGATGATTTTTCGCGGAGTTATCGTCGATCGAAGTCGGCCAATTTTGATCCAAGATTTTTCGATGCTACGATCGCTCGAAAGTTGAGTCGAAAAGGCCGCGGCCGTTGGTCGCGTTCGCGAAACCGCTGAATAAGGGATCGGTAGAATCGATGGTTATTTAATGAATCGTTAGCAGTAATCGAGCACGAATTCTCGGTTTCTGCTTACGCACGAGCGCCCGATTCGCGCGCGAACACACAATACGCTGCTCGCATACCGTATAACACGCGCCGGATCATCGGCGACCACGTGCCGACGTATTATTTCGTCATCGATCGAACCGCGGTACGCCCACCATTAAAACCTCGGTCGCGAGCTTCGTTATTCATACGAGCGAGTACACGCCGACGATCCGGTCTCTCCGCACAACATGGCGGAGCGATGCACGCCGCGTTCAAACGCACCGTAATCGCTCCTCCTCCATTGTGCACGCCGGGCAACCGTCGACCTTTTCAACACGCGAAAGTGGGTCAGTGCCCTTGGTCGCCGTGAACCCGTCGTTCCTGCATTATTCCGCTTCCGCCGTACCTTCCTTTCACGGTTCTCGGAATCTCGTATCGTCCGCCGAACGAGGTTAAACCGAATTAAATTATTCTCGATTTTAACCCTTAACGCAGTTTTTTTTTTGAAAAAACCGGTCAAAAATGATCAATTTTTTTCATGTAAAAGAACACAATTTAGAAGATTGTCTTGGCAAAAATTTTCAGAATATTATTGTTGTTGTTGTTGTTATTATTATTATGTTTTATTTTACATTGTATTTTAGTAAAGTATATATTAAAAAATGAACAAATCAGAATCTGAGTATGAATACGCTGTCGGAAAGCGGCTCAGAAGAAAGTGATAAGTATAATAATGATTGATTGGAAGTAGATAAGCAATATCCAACCGAATCCACATCCTCGAAGGTTTCCATTTGTTACCGACCCTGATTCAACTTTTCTTTTGCTGGAGAATTTTGATATACCACGCTTTTGTTCCATGGAAAAAGGCTATATTTTATTCTTGAATAAATAAGCATTATAGCTTACAATCCCATGTAAATGATAAATATCAATAAAACGATTCTTTTTCTTTGCCTTCACATTGTTATTTTCAATTCTCGATTATATTCGAGTGTGAAGAATTATAGCAGCATAAAATACAATGCCGCTCGAATTATCTCGACTGTGCACAGTTTGGCCTGTTTGGCGCGCTCGAATTAACTCGAGCGTACAAGTTAAGGGGTTAACGACTGGCCCGAAAATTCCGACGGACAGAAGATTACGTTGCCAAGATCGCGTTTTCCGAAGCCTCCGGATCGCTCGACGTTCTTCCAAATAGGACCGCGTATTTTCTAAATGTTTTCAATCGGTCGTGTCATGTTGCACAGCCAGATAGAAAACAAGAATCGCGCGCATTGTGCAGCGCGATGACATTCAAGCGACCTTGCGACAAGCGTCTTACTGCGGAACGTGGGAGCGTTGCCATCGGGTCGTTAAATAATGCACAGACTCCTTCGGCAGAAATGTTGTAAAAGTGTCATCATTTTGAACCGATTCTCTGACGTTATATCCTGATGCGGTCAATAACGGTCGATGTAGGTCCGTTAACCTTAGAATTTAGTTAATGGAGGATTTTGCAAATTGGCTGTGAAAATATGACAGTGTCACTAGTTGTGTAAAATAGAATTTCTATTACTTTTACTACTATTTTTTTTATTAAATCTCTATTTCTAAATTTCTATCTCTAAATTTCTATTAAAATTATTTACTACTTTTTACTACTATTATTTTCTACTATTTATTTGTTTATTTGTTCAGTTGTTTATTTATTTATCCATCTATCTATTTATTTATTTATTGTACGGGTAAGATCCCACTAAGCACAGAGTACTGAAAGGTACAGTAAAGTCTCCCTAATTGACGAAGTTACAATATTCGCATCGTACAGATAGATGGCAAACAAATTTGCAAAGTTCAGTCGTAGATTATGCGCTCCAGATATTTATTAATATTAGCAATAAACGGGACGATGCCGCAAAAAGAAAGAAGAAGACTGAAAGTAAAAGTGAAAGCTGTTGAGACTGGCTAGTGAACATTTAAAAACCTCCGGATCACAGGTATAATTACATAGAAGAAATACAATTAATCTCGATATTTAATTATTTCGTTTGATCTCTTTTCCTTTCATTTATTTTTACAGCACGATTCCTATATTACTATGAAATAAAAGAATAATTATTTTTCTTTTATTCCATATTTATTTTATATATATATATATATATAATTAAAATAAAAATATATATATAATATATATATATTTTTTTTATATATTTTATTGTGATAGGAATCGTGCTATAAAAATAAATAAAAAGAAAAGAAGATCAAATAAAATAATTAAATATCAAGATTAATTGTAATATTAATTAATTGTAAACTTAATTGTAATACTAATTGTAACATTAAATCGGATACAAATAATAATATTAATAACATTACCGGATACATTTTGAAGGATGCATCGGCTGATGAATAATGACTTGCATCTAAATGGCAATACATATTGCTGACCCACCCGGTATATGACACCACTTTGTCAGCGCATCTAAATGTTTCGCTCGCGCGAGCATATGGAGTTGCAACGCTTGCACCGCCGCGACGGAACGAGCCGACGGAACGCACGCGCTAAACGGGCCGGCTGCAAATTTGATTGGATCATAAACGACGACCGCGCTCGGTGATTGCGCCGTAAAAGAATGCACCGTCCCGATCGTGGCTTCGAATTCAGTTCAGGATGTTTTCCTGGAAGACGTTCACGAGAAAACATCGCCGGGAATTGAATAACGAGCCCGGCGCGGAGGAAGCCGAGAGAGTCACACGGTTCAGTCGAAATTCATTCGCGTGGAATAGTAATTGTTTGTCAGCGCGAGCACGTGTGGCTTCCACGTAACGCATCGCGCCGATGATTATTACAGATGCAGTCGTTCGCAGGATCTTTCGGAATATTTATTCAAACCTGAATCATCGTCGGAACCAGGAGGACGTGCTCTTGTGCATAGAAATCGGGGCGCACGTGATCGATCGCGACTGTTTTCCACCAGGAAATAAGCACGAGATTGAAATGATTTGAAAATTTAATTTCGTCGAATCATGGTAGAAGACAGAACGCATTGAAAATTGGCGAGACGCAATTTATCGCATTCTTTTAACTCTTCGGCGCACGCGGACCTCCGAACCTAACCTAAATCTCTTGTGTATTTAACACTTCACTTAACGGACGGGTTGTTTTTTCTCTGTCTTCCTCGGTTTCCGCGTATTTTTTTTTAAAAGAATTAAATAAACATGTACAGTGTTTACAGTCACTTTTTAAAACGCGACAACTTTTTCAGAACTGGGCTAGACGACTTGAATGTTTTTTTAACACGTTCGTCGCCGCGTCACCCAGATCTGTGTGACGGGTATGCTTCCGTTGAGGGCCCCGTCACCCAAATATGGGTGACGCTCCTCTTATTCAAGAGAGAGTTAATAGGATTTTCTCTCTCTCTCTCTCAGTTGGATTTTTAAAGTAAATTTAAAGAAATAAACACTAAAATATAAATGTAAGATATACAACATACATCGATGCAATTTTTGGTCTGCGTATCTATTAGTTTCTGTGATTAAAAGACTTATCACTTTTTTAATCCAAGAATAACGAAAGCATTCCACTTGCGCTAATGTCAAACGATAAATCCATCGGAAGCCCACTTTTTTCCGGTGAACGGAAACGACTGTTGGCGAATTCGTTCCACTGGATATTGTCCAATGTATTATCAACAGAGTTCAGTTTCTTATGTTCATCTATAGCAAGTACTTCCAACATGTCGTCAAGGTCTTTTCGTCTGAATTCGACGAAATTCTATTTATAACTTTTCTTCTAAAACTTGCTACTTCGTCATCGCTACAATCCTCGCTTTCAATTAAACTTTCACGCCATCGAATGAACATTTTGAGGATAAAAAAATCACTGATGCGCATCTCAAAAGAAAGTATGCTTCTCGACTAAATGAAGTATCTAGGATAACAGAAGTCCTCTAGCCGAAAACCTTATCGCTTTTCCCATTTAGGAACCCAAAATTTTATTGCCTATAATGAATCGAAGGCTCTACAGCATTAGGGCACCGACAACGCACACGGGTCTACACGAGTTTCATCGTTGCTATTCCCGCTTTTTGCTGTTTACGTTTCGGCGCCCCAACAGTCGGATTTGGACCCTGCGAGAAACTCAGCCGAATCGCGCCGGGCAATGAACGTGTTAAATGATAGAGCATAATTAGAATGCTCTTCTCCTACTCTAAACATTAGAAATTCGTCGTGTATTTACTCGTGGAGAAACGGAACGATTTTCTCGAACGATCAGATACATCTTGAATGATTAAAGAGGCTAGAAGTGCTGAGGCCAATTAATTAACAGTCAAAAGAATCGTCGACCGAAAGGATCGTATCAGAGATAATGCAGCAGCATTATGAGATGACGAATCGGGAAAACGCAGTGGGAGCGTATTTAATGAAATGTTTTTTCCGCGAAGAATGACAGGCGGAGTTTCCGCTTGGAATACATACTGTGATGTTGATCGTTTCTTAGACGGCGATATGTCTGTTTCGCGGAAGAGCTGCCGGGCGGCTGGCTAAACCGTGACGTCACCGACGTTCGGATCCTTGCAAGAGGCGCGGTAAGTGGGAGAAGATCGACTGTTAGCGCAGACGCGCGTCGTAAGTGGAGCCTCCGCCGCCGGAGACGCGAGAGTAGATTCGAAAAGCCAAACGAGCTCGAAGTGCACTCCGAGCATTGGTGACGTCACGGTGATCCTACGAGGGCGCGGTAAGTGGGAGAAGATCGACTGGTAGCGGAGACGCGCGTCGTAAGTGAAGCCTCCACCGCCGGAGGCGCGACAGTAGATCCGAAAAGTCGATCGAGTATGAAGCGCAGTCCGAACATTGATGACGTCACGGTCTAACCGGCAGCCTGTCGTCGCTGGTTCGCGGCAACGAATTCGCTAAAACAGAATTACATTATTACGCGCGTCTTCTTCGTCGGCGTCGATTATACGATCGTAAAATGAAAAAAGATATTCAGACGGATTAATCGCGATCGTAATACCTCGAAGAAGCCAGGCTCCGTTCCGTCCATCTCAGTAATAACGCGTCCGTTTTGATACCGCTCTTATCCATTAGCATAAACTGTTTTTTTATCTATTGCTCCGTTGATTTATACGCGATTAACAAATAACCGGATCTGCTTTGCAGTTATACGAACGCATTGTTATCTTTTTTGTTCTTTTAATGAACCGGTGGCAACAATGAAACCGGCAATGTCGTACCCCACGATTATAATACAGGGTGTCCCAAAAATATCTCGTAATCCGGAAATGGCGGTTTCCTCGGATCATTTGAAGTAGCTTCTTCCTTTACAAAAATTTTCTCCGAGCCACTGTTAACGAGTTATTAACGAAAAACAGTGACCAATAAGAATCGAGTACGGTTGACGCGAGGCGGCACAGCCAACCAGTGCACGAAGCCCAGTTTCGCTCATTGGCTCGGTCGCCTCGCGCCAGCCGAGCTCGCNTGGATTTTTAAAGTAAATTTAAAGAAATAAACACTAAAATATAAATGTAAGATATACAACATACATCGATGCAATTTTTGGTCTGCGTATCTATTAGTTTCTGTGATTAAAAGACTTATCACTTTTTTAATCCAAGAATAACGAAAGCATTCCACTTGCGCTAATGTCAAACGATAAATCCATCGGAAGCCCACTTTTTTCCGGTGAACGGAAACGACTGTTGGCGAATTCGTTCCACTGGATATTGTCCAATGTATTATCAACAGAGTTCAGTTTCTTATGTTCATCTATAGCAAGTACTTCCAACATGTCGTCAAGGTCTTTTCGTCTGAATTCGACGAAATTCTATTTATAACTTTTCTTCTAAAACTTGCTACTTCGTCATCGCTACAATCCTCGCTTTCAATTAAACTTTCACGCCATCGAATGAACATTTTGAGGATAAAAAAATCACTGATGCGCATCTCAAAAGAAAGTATGCTTCTCGACTAAATGAAGTATCTAGGATAACAGAAGTCCTCTAGCCGAAAACCTTATCGCTTTTCCCATTTAGGAACCCAAAATTTTATTGCCTATAATGAATCGAAGGCTCTACAGCATTAGGGCACCGACAACGCACACGGGTCTACACGAGTTTCATCGTTGCTATTCCCGCTTTTTGCTGTTTACGTTTCGGCGCCCCAACAGTCGGATTTGGACCCTGCGAGAAACTCAGCCGAATCGCGCCGGGCAATGAACGTGTTAAATGATAGAGCATAATTAGAATGCTCTTCTCCTACTCTAAACATTAGAAATTCGTCGTGTATTTACTCGTGGAGAAACGGAACGATTTTCTCGAACGATCAGATACATCTTGAATGATTAAAGAGGCTAGAAGTGCTGAGGCCAATTAATTAACAGTCAAAAGAATCGTCGACCGAAAGGATCGTATCAGAGATAATGCAGCAGCATTATGAGATGACGAATCGGGAAAACGCAGTGGGAGCGTATTTAATGAAATGTTTTTTCCGCGAAGAATGACAGGCGGAGTTTCCGCTTGGAATACATACTGTGATGTTGATCGTTTCTTAGACGGCGATATGTCTGTTTCGCGGAAGAGCTGCCGGGCGGCTGGCTAAACCGTGACGTCACCGACGTTCGGATCCTTGCAAGAGGCGCGGTAAGTGGGAGAAGATCGACTGTTAGCGCAGACGCGCGTCGTAAGTGGAGCCTCCGCCGCCGGAGACGCGAGAGTAGATTCGAAAAGCCAAACGAGCTCGAAGTGCACTCCGAGCATTGGTGACGTCACGGTGATCCTACGAGGGCGCGGTAAGTGGGAGAAGATCGACTGGTAGCGGAGACGCGCGTCGTAAGTGAAGCCTCCACCGCCGGAGGCGCGACAGTAGATCCGAAAAGTCGATCGAGTATGAAGCGCAGTCCGAACATTGATGACGTCACGGTCTAACCGGCAGCCTGTCGTCGCTGGTTCGCGGCAACGAATTCGCTAAAACAGAATTACATTATTACGCGCGTCTTCTTCGTCGGCGTCGATTATACGATCGTAAAATGAAAAAAGATATTCAGACGGATTAATCGCGATCGTAATACCTCGAAGAAGCCAGGCTCCGTTCCGTCCATCTCAGTAATAACGCGTCCGTTTTGATACCGCTCTTATCCATTAGCATAAACTGTTTTTTTATCTATTGCTCCGTTGATTTATACGCGATTAACAAATAACCGGATCTGCTTTGCAGTTATACGAACGCATTGTTATCTTTTTTGTTCTTTTAATGAACCGGTGGCAACAATGAAACCGGCAATGTCGTACCCCACGATTATAATACAGGGTGTCCCAAAAATATCTCGTAATCCGGAAATGGCGGTTTCCTCGGATCATTTGAAGTAGCTTCTTCCTTTACAAAAATTTTCTCCGAGCCACTGTTAACGAGTTATTAACGAAAAACAGTGACCAATAAGAATCGAGTACGGTTGACGCGAGGCGGCACAGCCAACCAGTGCACGAAGCCCAGTTTCGCTCATTGGCTCGGTCGCCTCGCGCCAGCCGAGCTCGCCTCTCATTGGTCACTGTTTTTCGTTAATAATTCGTTAACGGTGCCTCGGAGAAAATTTTTGTAAAGGAAAAAGTTGCTTCAAATGACCTGAGGAACCCGCCACTTTCAGATTGCGAGATATTTTTGGGACACCCTGTAGAATCGAAGGAACGCGTGACGCGAAAGGTAAAATGTTGGTAGCCGGCGAGCGGAACGATCGAGTGTACAAAGGTCAAGATCGAGCGACGAAAAAAGTGCACGTAAACAAAGATGAAATTATTCGCTTTTCTAGATAGATTCGTCGGAACGAAGAATAAATCACGGGAATGCACAATTTAAGATGTGCTATTGATCAATTTGTCTTGATTACCGGTGTTTGTAATTTTGTTTCTTTTGTGTTTCTTTTCACTTGCAGTTCCATTATATTTATTGAACGCAGTATTATTATTTTACTACCGGACTTACTTCTCGTCGACAAGTTTTTGCTATTTTATTATGAATGGACAAGCGGACGAAGGAAATAATTGTTCCATAACCGATCTAATATGTATGTCAACGTCGCGTGTAATTCGCACTTCTGTGACAGCTACCGTACAGGGACGTGCAAAAATGACTATGTACACTCCGTGTAAAATGCAAATTCCGGAATCTTCACATATTTATTCGAAGCCCGGAACGATAAAAAGAAATAAATGTTTTGAAATTCTTGTGTGTTTTTCATACTTTTTAATTTTGATTGCGAGTTCAAATAAAAAATTTCGAGAACGTATCTTTCTCGTTCTGTTTTTCTTATTCTGTTGGTTCTGTCCGGCAAACTGGTAAAATCCAAAATAAATTCAAAGCGTCCGATTCGATTCTAAAGTAGGGTTTATTATTGCGTTTGAAACGGCGCGTGCACACTTTTGCGGGTCACTGTATGTTTTCGTCGACTGTAGGATGCAGGGTGTCCTAAAAATGTCTCGCAATCCGAAAGTAGAGGATTCCTGAGGTCATTTTAAGCAACTTTTTCCTTGGCGAAAATGCAATCCGTGGCTTCGTTTACGAGTTATTAACGATAAACAGTGACCAATCAGAGGCGAGATCATTCGGCGCGAGACGGCCGAGCCAATGAGCGGAACTGGGCTCCCGTGCGCTCGTTGGCTGGGCTGCCGCGCGCCAGCCGAGTTCGCCTCTTATTGGTCAGTGTTTTTCGTTAATAACTCGTAAACGAAGCTTCGGAGAAAATTTTCGCAAAGGAAAAAGTTGCTTCAAATGACCTCAGGAACCTTCCATTTTCGGATTGCGAGACATTTTCGGGACACCCTGTATATTCGTCTCGCGACATTTCATGCGACACGTTCGTTCGCTCGTCGTACTTCCTGCATTTTTGCTAACTCGTAAACGAGATCATTCTATTTATTCACGCGCGCGCAGTTGATCGTTTGCATCCGTAATAAATGGTTGCAGATCGTTTTTTTGCTTCGAGCATGGTACAGATGTACGTATGTACTTCGGTATACCGAATGCACATCTTTTTCCCGTGTTTACGGAGTCAATGAAAAATATTTCCGATGCGAGAATGCAAATGCCATGTGGCGAGTGCATTATGTCGCGTTGAAGCGTGATAAAAATAGCTGAACGATTAAGTTGTTGAATCGTATCTAATGACAACTAAACATAGGCTAAACATAATCGTTTCCGGTTAAACTTGCAAGATGATACAAAGACGTAACCCTTCGTTCACTGAGAACTTAGAAATATTATTGCACTGTTCGCAACTCGTCGAAATTATTAATATATATTAATAAATAATATATAATTATATAATTAATATATATTATAATATCTATTAATATTAAATATCTGCATAATATATATATATATATATATATATTATCCAAATATTTATCTATATTACCAATAAACGGGACGATGTCCTTGGAGCACATGAAATTGAAAACTTTGAATAGTACTGCAAATTAATGATGACGCAAAAAGAAAAAAAGAAAACTGAAAGTAAAAGTGAAAGCTGTTGATCAGTCTGGCCAATGAACATTTAAAAACCTCTGGATCGCAGGTATAATTAAATAGAAGAAATACAGTTGATCTTAATACTTCATTATTTCGTTTGATCTTTTTCCTTTTTATTTATTTTTACAGCACGATTCCTATTACAGTGAAATACAAGAAAAATAATTATTCTTTCAAAAAGAAATAAAAAGAGGAAAGCTCGAACGAAATAATCAAGTATTAAGATTAATTGTAATATTAATTAATCGTAAATGAATTAATAGTAATATTAATTGCAAAAATAGCTGTATCATTAATTAATTGTAAAATTAATTGCAATATTAAATCAGAAACAAATAATAATATTAACAATATTATCGGATACATTCTCGAGGATGCGTCTGCTGATGAATAATGATCCAACTGGCACTACATATGTCAATTATACGGGGAATTATAAGCAGAGAAACGCGGTTCGAGTGTGACGAATCGAGTTTTTCTCTGATTTCTTCGTCGACGATGTCGAGATTATCTCATTACGGAAGAAAAACAAAGCGCGTCGACGGTTCGGTGTATATATTGGTGTATTTTTAAAAGATGGCCCGACTTTCGCCAATTCATGGAACGGACGTTCCATCGACGTTCACCGACGATACCATCGGGGGTAACTGACCGAAAAATACGTTCGAAACACTTTCAAAACAAAAAACCGATTTGCATACCCACTTCTCCTTGTTCTAGGGATTTCCAATGTGCTCAAAAACGGAAAACAATCCTGAATCAGGAAGACAGATATCGGACACGACAATGACTTAATAATTAATTGACAATAATTTAACAATTAATTAACAATTAACTCAATATTAATTATGAGTTAATAATTATTAATATAATTATTAATATTATTAATATGATTGATAATAATATTAATATAATTATTAATATTATTAATATGATTGATAATATTATTAATATAATTATTAATATTATTAATATGATTGATAATATTATTAATATAATTATTAATAGTTATTGGTTTATTGGTCATGACCGGTCAGAATGACCGGTCTCCGATTTTTCTCGCACACAACAAAACTAAACAAAGCGCTTAAACAAATTCGCATCGAGATAACGAAAATGATCGAAAAGCTGCGCGCGCAAACGCGAACTCGCCGCGATTTCACCGCGATCGTTTCACGCAATCCCGTGCTCGCGTTCAATTCGCCGCTCGCTTGTATAATTGCGGTCGAGCGGCTACCATTTTTTCTTTTTTTTTCTTTTTTTGCTGTAATTCGAAACTCATTCGAACGTCGTTTCGATGTTGTACCGTTCCCACGATGCGCCGATGTTTTGAAAGCGTCGAACATGATTAGAGGTTCCGATCACGTTGCAGAGTGAAGGGTGTCAGGGGGACGATCCTGGTGAACGGCAAGCCTCGGATGCCGTACAGCAACGGATGGAAGAGGACGTCGTGCTACATAATGCAGGACGCGCTGATGAGGACCAGGATCACCGTCGGCGAAGCCATGACATTAACCGCGCACTTGAAGCTCGGCTATACGATCAGCGCAGCCTACAAGCACACCCAAGTTAGTCGACGCTTTCACTTTATCTCGATTAGACGCGGCCGCGGTTTACAGTAATGTCTCCCTTACTGACGCTCAGATTGTCCACTAAAATGGACAATTTGGGAAGAGTAGATACGATTGTTCGAGCCTTGCGGTTCATTCTTATAATTGTGGTCAATCTATAACTATAAAAATAAACCGCAAGGCTCGAATAATCGTATCTCCTCTTCCCAAATTGTCCATTTTTGTGCGCAATCTGGGCGTCAATTAGAGAGACATTGAATTTTTATAGTTTAATTTTTATGCCTCTCGTTTTTATAGTTACGAATTGTCAAGGTTATGTCAACGTTATGATGCAAGGCTCGAACAATCATATCTCCTCTTCCCATATTGTCCATTTCTGTGCACAGTCTTAGCGTCAGTTAGGGAGACATTACTGTACAGTGATGTCTCTCTAATTGACGCTCAGATTGCCCACAAAAATGGACAATTTTTAGAAGATGAGATACGATTATTCGAGCCTTGCGGTTCGTTTTTACAGTTACAAATTGCCAAGGTTATGTCAAAGCTTGAACAATCGTATCTCCTCTCCCCAAATTGCCCATTTTTGTGTGCAATCTGGGCGTCAATTAGAGAGACATTACTGTAAAAATTATGAAATAATCGAATCTCTTCGCGCTTCCCGAATAGTATGAATTGACCGACGACGATCTTCGCCGCCGTTCTCGGCCAATAGCGATCGAGTGCCGCGGCAGTGGGGCAGCCTTCTCGTCGCGCGAGGACTACACGTTGTTCCGCGTATACAGTAATGTCTCCCTTACTGACGCTCAGATTGTCCACTAAAATGGACAATTTGGGAGAGAGGAGATACGATTGTTCGAGCCATGACATAACCTTGGCAATTTGTAACTGTAAAAACGAACCGCAAGGCTCGAATAATCGTATCTCCTTTTCCCAAATTGCCCATTATTGTGGTCAATCTGGGTGTCAATTAGAGATACATTACTGTACAGTGATGTCTCTCGAATTTTTATAGTTTAACTTTTATGCCTCTCGTTTATATAGTTACGAATTGTCAAGGTTATGTCAACGTTATGATGCAAGGCTCGAACAATCATATCTCCTCTTCCCATATTGTCCATTTCTGTGCACAGTCTTAGCGTCAGTTAGGGAGACATTACTGTACAGTGATGTCTCTCTAATTGACGCTCAGATTGTCCACAAAAATGGACAATTTGGAAAGAGGAAACACGATTATTCGAGCCTTGCTGCTCATTTTTATAATTGTGGACAATTTATAACTATAAAAATAAATCGCAAAGCTCGAATAATCGTATCTCCTCTTCCCAAATTGTCCATTTGTGTGGTCAATCTGGGCGTCGATTAGAGATACATTACTGTATTCCGCCAAGAACGATGGGACAGGCCTCGTAGTCCAACAGGAGGACCGTTCCGCGTCCGGAACTGATTCTCGTCGATAGAGCGCCCAGGTCTTTATACGAAAGCGAAAGTAACCGCGTCGATAACAAGAAGCTGAAACATGTGCTAATCATGGAGAGACTCAGGTGTAAGAACGTGAAAATGTAAATATTTTTGTTTCAATTTTTTTTATACGGAAATAAAAGTTATATCGTTCTAGAATTTTGGGGAGCGTAAAGAGAAACTTTTAAACTGCACGAGAAAATTTTCGTTACTTCTTATTAAATAATAATGCAGTCTTACACTCGTCTTCAATGACGGACACCGGAAAACAACAGATCAAAAATTATCTTAAACTTGGATAATTTAAGCTGTGACGTCGAACCTATTTTAAATAAGAAACCTCGACGAACTGAACAAATTCTAGCGTTTGTCAAATTTTTGTTATTTAATACAGGTTAAATCGCAGCTGTTAAATTGTCCAAGTTCAAGATTAAATTTTTGATTTGTCGTTTTCCGGTGTCTGTCGCTGCGACTGGATTATTATTTAATAAGTGTCAAAAATTCTAACCGAAATTCTAGAAATATAATTCTAGGACAATATAATTTTTAGTTCTGTGAACAAAAAAAAATTAAAACATTTAATTTTTACGTTGTTAAGCGAGCGAGCCCCCTCTCCTCCGCCCCTTGATTCGTTATCTTTTGTAGTAAACTCGTCAATTGTTTACGAGCAACGGGTCCTTGAAAATGAACAGCCGCTTTCCGGGACAGTAAAATAGTTAACGACGAAAAATATCTATGTAACGCGTCGTACACGAAAAGACACGGCTGCCGGTGTAGCAACAAGCGCTTCAAATAAATTTGAATATGTATCTCGATTTTCATAAAAGGCAAACGTTGGTGTTCGTTCGTTCGCAGGTTCTGGAGCTGTTGGAGATCTTGGGTCTGAGTCATTCCTACGATACTCTGTGCGGGAAATTGTCAGGCGGCCAGAAGAAGCGGCTGGACGTCGCACTCGAGCTTTTGAGCAATCCTTCAGTATTATTCCTCGACGAGCCGACGACAGGTAAACAATTACCGAACTGGGATAAGGGTGAATATTACTGCGAACGCCCCAAATACTGCGTATATTTTATAAAAGCAGTAAAATCTAATATTTTATAGAGTGCGATCTTCTGAAAATAAATCTCATAATTTTTTGTACGTTTAATGTTGATAATTTATGATATACAAGTAACAACAATCGCAGTTTTAATTAATACTCGTAATAGCCAGCTGTGAACGCTGATTCGAAAGGCATTTATATTTTGGTAATTAAACTATCCATTTGAGTGTTATTTTTACATAAAGTAATCGTTACTTTGATAAAAAATCAACGTACACTGTCGCCATCATCTATCCACAAATATTATTTACAACACTCAATAATATATGCACACGTGTGGTGGTTCGTTTACATTACGCTTCTTAACGAAATTTCTGCTTTTAGAGATCCAATATTTTGAGAAAACTAAATATTCAAGTCAAAGAAGATATAGCTGAAGTTGTCAATTTATTGGCGTGAAAGCTTTATTTGTCAGGGTTATGTCAGCTCAATACAAAGATATAAAAAAAAGCGTTAAGTTATGCCAGGGCATAACCCTTTTATAACTTTGAAATAACCTTGACATATAACTTTGACATAATCCCGACAGATTTGGCATAATTTTGGCATAACCCTGACACAACTTTGGATTAACTTTGGCATAACCTTGACATAACTTTGTCAGAATATTTGACATAACCCTGACACAACTTTGCCATAAGCCCGACATAACGTTGGCATAACTTTGGGTGTATAAACTACAAAAGTAAAGATTTTGTGTAGGCTGACGTTTTACTGGTTTCCTAAAATGTTTAAGTTAATATTAATATGAAAAGTATACTTATATATTTTTCATAAAAATCATTACAATCTCACAAAAATTATATCGTGTTTGGTCTTATTTTAATCGGGAAAGGCTCACGGTTGCATTGGAAAATCCGAAAAATATAAAGTTGAATTCTGCATCTCGGTCCTGCACCTTGCTCGCACATCTAATGCGAACACTGTCAATCGAGCACGCTGCCTAGCACGCAGGTGTGTGTCGACCCTTACCTTAACGGCTGCCACGACCCGCGGTCGAGAAAACATGGAAAACGTATTTTCATTTGCACATCTCGACGAGGCAATCGCATTTACATCGAGTTAACATTTTCAATGACTCGGACGGAACAGGTTTATAGTTACTTTGTATTCGCGCTTATTACTGGATCCGTCCGCGCATCCACGTTCCGACGGAAGGTACGGCAAAAACGGCGCAACTGCCGCATCGAATCATGCAAATCAATCGTTAAGATTATCATCCTCGTAATCAACGTTGATCTCTTAATAGTATTCCATGATGCGGGTCGATATTAATATCGTATCGAAGGTCGCAAGGGGACGATCGCAAAAAACGCGATTCTCCGGAAGCTGTTCTTCGAGTCGATTGCGAACGGCAGAGAACTTTAGGGCGTCCGTCCATCAGGATCCTAAAGATTGGCGCGGTGCGCGCGCACCGGTCGTTTCGATCTGTCTAAAGATGGCCGCCGCGCGGCGCCGTCAAAATCGTAGAATTTCACGGCCGGGAATGGAAGATTTTGTGATACCTGCGGGGAACGTGGAACAAGCAATTGGAACGTAAGAAGTTCAACGATAGAGACAGACGAATTCGTTGACGGCACGAAAACATTAATAGCTTCGTTATTTTTAATGTCGCGAAGGAAGTAGAGAATAATTAATCAAGCTGTAAAATTATCGAGGCAATTAAAAGTTGCAATAAGAGGAAGATTGTTGTGAGAACAGCTCCGTCGAACGGCTATAAAAAACAGTGTTCAAATCGGTGTGTTACGAAAAAAAAGAGAGTGAGTGAGTGAGCGAGTGAGGGAGAGAGACTTTTAAGTGTAATGAACGGGAAGAGCAATTTCCAGCCTTGTGAGACACCTATCAAGTAACCATCTAACCTCAACGCTCCTGGCAGCTTAATGATAAGACCCGGCTACGTGACAAGGAAAAAGTAGTGGGGACAAAGGAGATGGTTGACATCTAACGCACGCGGCAACAAATGGAAGAAACGAATGGAAGAACGTCTGCGTGCGATTACAAAACCGATAAAAAGGAAACACGTGCCTCGAAGTTTCGCTTCACGCGAGATCGCGCAAGGTCCCGGACCGATGGGACGCGGGTTTCGTAACATCGTCTTCTCGTAGATCGTGATGCATGGTTTCTATTATTTAATGCCGGTCTCGTACCTGAACGCGCGTCGATCGCATTTATCTATCATTCAGCTACACAAACTAAGGACAACAATTTAAATACAGTAGCAAAATTATGGTACTTCCGCGAAACGAGACGTCCCTGAGATCATTTGAAGCAACTTTTTCCTTAGCGAAGATGCAATCCGCGGCATTATTTGCGAGTTATTAACGAAAAAGCAGTGACCAATGAGCGGCGAGATCAGCTGGCGCGCGACGGCCGAGCCAGCGAGCGGCCAGAGCTCGGCTCCGCTCATTGGTCAAGCGTTTTTCGTTGATAACTCGTGAACGAAGCCGCGGATTGCATTTGCGCTAAGGAAAAAGTTGCTTCAAATCACCTGAGGAACCTTAGGTATCCCTCGGTTTCCCTCGTTTCAATTTCGAGTAGAAGCCGAGCCAATGAGCGGAATTGGGCCTTCGGGTATATTATTACAATATAAATTATTATAATTATTATATTATATAATTATTAAATTATAATTTAATTTAAATAATTAAACGTCGAGACACTGTCCGGCTAATGACTCGATCACTAACAGGAAAACAATCATTATTTCAGGTTTGGACTCCGCGTCCTGCAGTCAGTGCATAGCGCTTCTGAAGCGTCTCGCGAAGATAGAGAGGCGCACGGTGATCTGCACGATACATCAGCCGAGTGCATTGTTATTGGAGATGTTCGATGCTATCTACTGTGTCGCCAGCGGCTACTGCATTTATTCGGGTCCGGTGAAGTCGTTGCTGCCACACATGTCCTCCGTTGGCGCCGAGTGCCCGCCCTATCACAATCCGGCCGACTTTCGTAAGTAACACTGTCGAAACTCCTTTCGTCCAATCCGGACTCGCACCTCAACGGAGACAACGATGTGTTATAGTGATAGAGGTCGCGATCGGCGATTACGGTATCACCGTCGAGAAATTGGCAGCTGCCGCGGAGTCCATGTGCCAGGACGATAACGCAGTGAAAACGTACCCGTTAAAGGCAGATACAGGTACGGTTATTTTCTCTGTTACATAATTCTCTCCTTTCCTCGCATTCCGCTTCTCTCCGCGTCGTCGACACGTTCCTTCCGAAACAAGTTCAACGCCGGTTGAAACGTCAAAACAACATTCTCGGGCATAGATTATCCTTTGCTCTGGAAATTAATTATTTGTACGTATAAGTATTATTGGAACATAGAATACGCAATAATTAATGAATAATAATAGTGATAATAATTAATAAATACACAGATCATTAATGAGATTTTCTTGAAATTCTCAGTGATAGGCATAGATTATCCTTTGCTCTGGAAATTAGTTACTTGTACATATAAATATTATTAGAACATAGAATACATAATAATTAATGAATAATAATAATAATAATAATTAATAAAAACACAAATCATTAATGAGATTTTCTTGATATTCTCAGTGATGGGCATAGATTATCCTTTGCTCTGGAAATTAATTATTTGTACACATAAATATTATTGGAACATAGAATACACAATAATTAATGAATAATAATAATAATAATTAATAAATACACAAATCATTAATGAGATTTTTTTTCTTGAAATTCTCAGTGATGAGCATAGATAATCCTTTGCTCTGGAAATTAATTATTTGTACGTATAAATATTATTGGAACATAGAATACACAATAATTAGTGAATAATAATTATTGAAACATAGAATACAGAATAATTAATGAATAATAATAGTAACAATAATTAGATCATTAATGAGATTTTCCTTTCATTCAGACAAGAGACAAGAACCACCTCCGCCGGCAGGATTCCTCGCGCAATGTTACCTTCTCTACAAAAGGCATCTGCTCTGTCTGAAGAGGGACTACACGTTACTGGTGGTGCGTCTTCTCTGCCACCTGCTTATCGGAGTGATCTTTGGCTACCTGTACATGGGAAGCGGTTACAGGGCGAACGGCGTCCTGGCCAACTACGTTTACATTTACGGATCCTTGTTGTTGCTCGTGTACACGGGGAAAATGGCCGTCACCCTTGCCTGTAGGTACCTAGGATAACAACGATCCTGTCGCAAAGTTCATCGTGAGAATCGTCACCGTAGCAAACCATTAAATCCAGTCTCTTCGGTTGGAATGGTGGTCGGAGAGCACACGATGAAGCAACTCGACAACCCTTCCCGCTGTTAAATCCGGCGACCGAAATTCATTAATACCAGTTTCTTCTTTTTACGGTTGTGTCACCAAAAACCGGATTTTGGAATTGCCCAATATTTCTCACATTCGGCCGCGCTCGGTTCTCTCACGTTAGCAAAGAGAAAACAATGCGCCTCGCGTTCGCGTGCGCGCAACGATGATTCGCCGTTTTTTGATAAACAGCGCGTGATTGCGAGGAATATTCATTCATTTATCGCCGTGATGCGAAGAAGAGACCCCGTCATGGTTTTCGAGAGATTCGAGGCTTGCCGCATCATTTTAATGGGACCAGCAGTTCGAAATCTGGGTCAAGAAACGCGCCGAGCGTGCGCGGTCGTATCCCCGGACTATTGGCAATGCTACGGAGAGTCAACATCTGTCTGTTCCCTTCTATTTTACATATCCTTCTCCTTTTTTTCCTTCGCGAGAAACCGGTAGCAGTCGATGCTTTCACGATGCAACGTGTCAAAACGGAGACTATTGATCTCGAACGGAGAGCCACTGGTTGTTGTAATTGGAGTTGCTCCGTGTAACTCGACTGGTTGCCCCACTTTTCCGCGCACTCGCTTACTTAACCCCTTAACGCACAGTTTTTTTTTTTTTTTAAAAACCGGCCAAAAATATCAATTTTTTTTATGTAAAAAAACACAATTTAGAACATTGTTAGAACAACAGAAGAAGATATAGCCGTTGATTGGAAGTAGATAAGCAATATCCAACCAAATCCACATCCTCAAAGGTTTCCATTTGTTACCGACCCTGATTCAACTTTTCTTTTGCTGGAGAATTTTGATATACCGCGCTTTTGTTCCATGGAAAAAGGCTATATTTTATTCTTGAATAAATAAGCGTTATAGCTTACAATTCCATGTAAATGATAAATATCGATAAAACGATTTTTATTCTTTGCTTTCACATTATTATTTTCAATTCTCGATTATATTCGAGTGTGGAAAATTATAGCAGCATAAAATACAACGCCGCTTGAATTATCTGGAGTGTGCACAGTTTGGCCTGTTTAGCGCGCTCGAATTAACTCGAGTGTACAAGTTAAGGGGTTAAAGAACTTTTGTAACGAATTAATAATAACAACCAGCCGAATTGAATCAAACAAGTCGATCGTGTAGCTTCCGTTCATCGAGTTTGTTCATTCAAGATGTAACTTATGCCAATGATTTATATCAATTTGGCCAGTTGAGTCAACCGAGCGTACTGTTACATAAGTTGTTGGGTTCTGTCAAGTCCAACTTACAGGAATAATTAAGTCTTCCAGTCGGTTGACTCGATTGAGCTATGTAATTAAATCAAGCGCAGCATCACAGCGAATACACTTCCAGAACACCGTGTATACAATCGCCGCACGGTTCTTGTAATTGCTGCTATAAGCGGCCGCGTGATGCCAGCCACTTTCTTATTTTGTTCTTATTGCTTTTTTATGGAAAGTGTTTCAAGGTGAATGTAGTCTAAGCTTCATACGTTCGAAAAAAAATGTGAAAACAGCTGAATACCGGCGTCTGACTGTCCGTGCATGCACGGTCACCGGAACGAATCGTTCTAGTTGAGTGTACAGTAATGTCTCCCTTATTGACGCTCAGATTGTGCACAAAAATGGACAATTTGGAAAGAGGAAACACGATTATTCAAGCCTTACAGCTCGTTTTTTTATAATCATTGACAATTCGTGACTATAAAAACAAACCGGATAGCTCGAATTATTGCATCTCCTCTTCCCAAATTGTCCATTTCTGTGGACAATCTGAGCGTCAATTAGAGAGACATTACTGTATTTTCACCGCGAAACAGTTTCTATCCTGCTGCGATGCTCTATAGTTCCCCGATAATGCTAAAGGTCGCTCTTTTTCCGGGAAATGTTTCAGTTCCGCAGGAAATGCGGATTCTCTCGAGGGAGCACTTCAACCGGTGGTATCGATTGGGGCCATATTACATCAGCATGCTGCTGGTGGAGATACCGTTCCAAGCGGCTTGTGCAACGACCTATTTGATCGTCAGCTACTGGCTGACGGGACAGCCGATCGAAACAGCTCGTATCCTTTCCTTCATGGTCTTTAACATAGCCGCCAGCCTGACGGCTCAAGCTTGGGGCTTCTTCATCGGAGCTACCACACCGGTGAAGGTACGCGCGCTTTAACGACCTTTTGCTCTACTTTGCAAGTTGCAAATAATGCAATTATTACTACTAATAATATTCTAAGGAACAAAGCAATCGTGACTTATTTTTAAACAATCGAAACAAATCGGAGCAACGATTCTAACACTGTCTGCTTTCAGATTGCCGTGTTCGCGGGTCCCGTACTGGCAGTGCTGTTCTCGATCTTCGGGTTCTGCATCCGTTACATAGACACGCCGTTGATGTTCAAATGGATGTTCCATATATCGTACTTCCGCGCCAGCTTCCACAGTCTTCTGCATACTCTCTACGGTTTCGGCCGGATGGACCTGAAGTGCGACGACTTCTACTGTCATTACAAGAAGCCCACGCAATTCTTAAAAGAGATGGACATCGTTCACACGAGCGTCGTCGACAATCTTATTCTGATCGTCGGTATCGGTGTGCTGATGCATTTGCTGACGGCGAGCGCGCTGTGGTGCAAGCTGAACAGAAGATAAAATCTACCGGATGCCGATCTCGGTGTTCCAGTATTGCTGTTAGTCAGTGCTCTGTAAACAGAGACGTGCTACGATGCTGACAGTTTCTTCAGGATCGTAACGAACAAATTGAAGAGGCGACGAAGGTGGTTCACACGCAGGACGAAAACTTTATTTATTTCGATGTGACAGAGGAGAGATAATTGGCGTTCGAAATTGTTCTACAAGGTGTCCCAAAAATGTCTCGCAATCCGGAAATGGCGGGTTCCTCGGATCATTTAAAGCAGTTTTTTCCTTTACAAAAATGTTCTTCGAAGCACCGTTAACGAGTTATTAACGAAAAACAGTGACCAATAAGAATCGAGTACGGCTGGGCGCACGAAGCCCAGTTCCGCTCATTGGCTCGGTCGCCTCGCATTATGGTTGGCTCGCCTCTCATTGGTCACTGTTTTTCGTTAATAACTTGTTAACGGTGCCTCGGAGAAAATTTTTGTAAAGGAAGAAGTTGCTTCAAATGACCGTCACTTTCGGATTGCGAGACATTTTTGGGACACCCTCTATAGAACGGCTGAAATTACACCGTACTTACGAATCGCGAGAAGACTCCCGTTATCGATGCCCGGCATACGATGCAAAGTAAAAGTGGGACTCCGGAGAGTCCCACGTCGCGTTCTACCGGCGGCGTGATAGCCTAATCGTACTACTGACATGGAAAAACGGCCGCTTCGACAACCGTTTTAACTTGTAACACGTTTCTCCGCCAGAACGTGTGTTGTCCGTACTCCGTAGGTTCGAGACTTTCGTAAGAAGCCTTGAAGCTGTACACGTTCGCTACCGATTCTATTCGATTATGGTCGCACCCGTGTGACGGCCACGATCTTCTTGTTTTTCACGTAAAGAAAATCAGATTTATTTTGTACAGAACGTTATTGAAAATTGTGTTTCCTAAGAGGATACGTTACGTTTAAGAAAACTGTTGCCGAAACGACGTTGTCAGCGTGGCATTGTAATAAATGCGAGAGAAAGATATTTTTTTATTATTTTTCGTACCGTAAACGTTGCTCGCCGTGCAACGGTTCGGATAATAGTCAGGATTACAAGTAAACGTTCCATGTTCATTCTAATTATCTAGTTGCGACTATGACCCGTCTTGAAAATCTATCACGAAAAACGTGATTGCGAAAAGTAGAATTTTGGGGGCGGGGAGAGGGGTCACACTTGTGCCTAAGTGCCTAGAGTACAATCAGAATGTACGCGCGAAAGATACGTGATATTATATTGATTATAATATTAGCACGGGGGCATTGTATATTATTTTTTGATAGTACATTACTTTTTCTTATACGAGACACGTTCAATTACTAGCAGCAAAACGGCATACTGCCTGGTAAGGTAATTTGTATGAATGAATGGAAATCCTTCGCAGAGAGAAGGTTGAAAAACAATTACTTTTTATGTATTCGTAATCGAATAGATCTAAACAGTTGTATGTGATATATTTGTTACAGATCTTCTCAGAGTTAATCAAATAACGATATTTATGAAGAGTAGTTGAAGAAATCAATCGAAAACGATTTTAGAACGTTACTTAAGATTGCTATACACGGATGTGTATAATCATTTCTATAGTAAAAGTATAGAATGTCCTGCAAGTCAAAATTTCAAGTCAATATTATGAACGTAATACACTACTGTTTCACATTTTTTATTCGTCTTTATCGATAGAGAAACAAAAATCGTACTACGAGAGGCAGGGTTAAGGACACGACCATGGTGCCGGACTTCTGATTCTCACTTTTTATAATATTTATTGCTATGTTCAATTTATCAACAGCTTTTGTATCGAAGGGAATTCGCTTTCTCGTTGCCAAGAAAAGTTGGTGGCCCAATAGACATTTAAAAAAGTGATGTGTGGGAAGCTTTAAACGAACTATGTTATAAACGGTCGAGTGGAGAGAGAGAGGCACATTAAACATTCTTATTAAATCCGTCTCGGCGGACGATGTCTTTCTAATGTAAATGTTGTATTTAGTATTATAGAACGTGTAAACGGATGCTTGATCGCGTGAAAGCCTATTCAATAAACTTACCTTTTTTTTATTATAAAAAGTCGAAAGTTCCTTCACCAAACTTCGGATGTTCACGACAACTCGTATTTTTGTAATCCAATGTAGTTGAATAAAAAGTTGTTTTATCCATCGGGAGTTCCCTTTTCGCGCAAGGTAAACTCTGAACGCAGAATGTACACCATAAACAAAAAAGAGTAAAGTATACCACAAAAATGAAATGGATCGCGATACAAGAAACAAGTTGTTTCGTATTTATAGTTTTTATTGTACGCTGTATCCAATATGTTCCTACAATTCGGATACATTGTTAACTTTTCCTTTTTTTGGCTTTTTAATTAATATCATATACAGATAGAACGCTAATACAACTTCCGCGACCTAGTTCAATCAACAGGTATATAAAGTGGTCGGGGGGAAGTGATAATTTCTCATTCGGATAAATTACACATTTCTTAAAAGTTAAAACTATCGTTTTTTATTTCGCATTGCCTATTCATGATAAATAAAACATCTAGGAAACGAATTGTTTTTTTAGAGATCATATGAACACTATTAATCAAACGACGAATTTCCTCTAGAAATGTACATATACATACATGTTAGCGTTTCGTCGAATGTTTGCTTGTTATGCGTCTAAATGATTTGGAAACGCAGAAGAACAGAAATAGAGTAAGTGACAGAAGAAACATTCAAACGTGTAGCGTACCACAGAAACAATTCAAACAGATGCAGAGAGTATTCATATGATTTCAAATGCTAATGCGTACTGAACTTCAGGCATTTAGAAAGATCATCCGCCTCGGTTTAGCGTCGAAAACTTTACTTTTTTTCCCCTCGCAGACTAATCGGTGATGAACACGTGCGCAATCAAGTATTTTGAAACCTATCAGAAGTAGTGTTTTAAGATTTATATGATTGTAAGCGATACATTGCATCCGAAGAATTCAGGAGTCCTGAGTGAACTATTAAATATTTATTAGCACATTACATTGTGTAATATAAATTATGTTTTCATACAAAATAATGTGATCTATAGTTTCTAACGTAGCAGATGAGAAGAAACATTATCGCTATTCTAATAACTAGGAGAATAATACAACTAAAACTTACATAGAACATAAATTACATCCCTGAATAGAGAGAGTTGCAAAGTTATCTTTTTTTTGAATTTCAAGTAATTAGAACGAGCATTTATTTTTCAGGCTGAAGTATATTTATTGATCGTTTCACAAACAACTGTTGAATTCTTCCTGAATGTAACATATCATAATGAATGATCTCCTAGAAGTCCAACTAATGGTCTCTCTTTAAGAAAAATGCAAAATGGTATAAAAAATGTGCTACGTCGGGAGGACATTTTTTACTCCATTTCATACTAACCTTCTTCCTCCTCGAAAGAAGCTAATCTTGTGAAGAAGCACCCTGCCTAATTCTACTAACGCCTCCAGTATGGATGGTATAAGTATATTTGTGATTCTTAATTGGACATACGCAACGCAAACATCCAGAGATTTCGAATTTTCGTTTCTTATCCGTAAAACAAAGTAAAAAATGCCGTTTAAACTACGCACGTGGGCTGTTCGCTTAGAAACACATATCTTATACGGTATGTTGATTATAATGTATGTACAGAAATATGTTTTGAGGACTTCTAAACGTTTCTTTGATCAGAGCCTCCACAGGCAGCTCGTTAGAAACTATGTGTAAGATAGCTGCTTGTAAATTACAAGGGGTTCAGAAAGATTCTACGTGTTGCTTTATGTTGTAAGGGAGGATCTCTGTATTATTCCCCTTACTTACGTGAGATAAACGGTTAAAAACTTGAACGTGCTTATTTATAGCCACAAAAGGGACGCCTGTTACATTGACGCGTGATCCATATCGCGGTTCCTTTAATACTTTTTTTTTAACATTAATAAAATATTACAATACTTATTACTCAATCAGATAAAAGAGATACATCCAATGCAAAATGTCACCGGTGTTCTCCATTCTCATTCTTGAATGTATTTGCTCAAACGAGAAGAGATCTGATATAATTTTTAAAACAATACATCACGAATCGAACAGAACACAAGACAATCAATTTTTGTTCACATTCTAGAATTCATTTTTGTCGCGTAAAACTTATCGGGCAAGATCAATAGCATCTTTAATGAGAATGAATAATTGAATCTGTAGTCGAACAGGAATTTACGTTTTAATACTCCTTTCAGTAAGCACAAGCAACAAAAAGTATCACAAAAAAAAACGTGAAAGTGTGACGCCAATGAACGTATCGATAATGAATCGATGAAGAAATGAAAAGAAGGAAATAAAGAAGAAAGATAGAACAGAGAAGTACAGAATACAAAAGAAACGAAAGAACTAAGTGAAAAATAGATTTGTCCGCTTGGTCTGCTCCAGGGAACGTTTTAGAGAGACCGAATTCATAGGTACAATATTCGTTATGTAATATTTACAGCGATTGAATAATTGTTACTTGTCTCTATTCATTATTTACATAGAGCCATATAGAATTTTGCGTTTAATCACAATATTTCGACTGTTTCACCTTTCTTTGCGCCTCGGATTCATCCTCCATGCCGTACAGATGATGCCGGTGCTTCATTTCGGTCGCATAAGACTTTAAATGAAACCAATTGAAACAGAAAAATCAAAAGTAAACTTTCGAGTTGATCGTGGACAACGATAAATAAACAAACAAATTAGAAGATACGATAAAAAAGCAAAGAAGAAGCCAGGTGTGTACCGTTTTCTCTATGGTAACATTCAAATATTTTCTCGTAGCATAGAAATTAATTTAATACTAAACATACCAGGCGTGAACGTACTCTTTGTGGCAAATCTTCCTCTAAACTATAGATCTCGTTTCGCTTCAGTGCGAGCTGCGAACCATCTTCAAAGGTCACCTGAACCATAAAGATATACAAATTAGACTCAAAAAACATTTTTAACGATTACATTAAATGAATATATTTATTACTTACGGTGTACATGATCCTGTGGTTCGTACCCTCAAAGATACCATGATAAAGTATCCCATCTGTCCATTTGACATCAACAGCAGCACCCCGTTGCGGTTGGTTTCCAGGATCATAATTCTGCATAAAGCGATAATTAATTTCTATATATATAGCTGACCAATTGTGAAAATAGACAAAGTAATAATTCAATAAATTTCTGATACTATAATCATTCATATTTCATAAAAGTGTCTATCTACCGTTATGTCTGATGGATATAAATCATCGCTGAAACTGTCGTCGCTAAACGTGACCATATAAAACAGAGTGTCGTGTATCAAATCCACTTTGGCCTTGTAATATCGGGAGTTCCGATGTTTCGCCCAAACAACCTCGCCCTGTCGGATGGTAGGAATTTTTGTTCCGTCATCGTGCACATCACAGGTTACCTAAAATTAGATTTGGTTGCCATTTTAGAATTTTAAAAACCCACCCTTCTCTTGCACGGATACTCAAGACGATCTCGACGATGGTTTCGTTATAAAAGATTGCTCACAATAATAAACGCGTCTTCAACATTTTTTACAAGTACCTGAAGCTCCAATGAATTGTAGACTGGTATCGAGAATATTGCTCCCGAAATCAGGCCGCACGACGGATGAAACAGGTTATCGCACAAGTTGCAATTTAGACACGCCCCGTCCGTCTGGCCACAATAACAACATTGTTGCTTGACAATGTCAGGTTTGATAGTTAAAACATTGATTGGATCCTTGTTGATGGCATCCTTGAATGTGACTCCTGGTAATAGAAGAGCGCATAATATATGTGCCCAATTACTATCGCTGGTACGTTTAACAGCACCGCCACGCATAGGGCACAAACAACACATCTGTGACAAAAATATACCCGTCAAGAAATGTATTGTTCACATTTAATAAGAATCGTTCATATTTGTTGCCAAATAATATAAGAGCTACGTACCACTTGTGTTTTACCAGCTTTACATTTGTCGCATGCCCAATTCCGTATATCTGTGGGCACCACCGTAATACCATAACAGGATGCATGTACAGTTACATGACATTCTCTGCAACGCAGCAACTTATCGTTGTCTGGTTCGACTATTTGCTCCTTTGAATTTGCAACGAATATATTGGCAGATACCTGGATAATCAGAATTCAATTTAGATAATTGTTCTGAGGTACAATATAAGGTTACATGTATGATTACATATGTGAAAATGAAAGGGGGTGCATATAGGCAACACTTACCCATATCGGTGAACTTTCTGGTAAAACGGTGGGTTTGCAATATTTCCAATCTGCAGGCATCAGCCTGCCATAGCCGTTGTAACTCGAAGAGAATGGTGCGCAGATTGCGCAATGAGAAACTTGAGCGCTCCAATAATCATTGAACGCTTTGAGTAGATCGTTGTTCGGAACAAAAGGGAACAACATATCGGATATATGTCCTGGTATCATTGGAAAACGATGGGAAACGCAATGCGGTTTATCCACGGGACTAGTTGCAACACTGGAATCTTCCTGACTGATTGTTGGCGTAACCTTCTCGGGCGCATCTTTTTTCCTGGTGGTCGCCTTCTTCAACTTCTCTTTCGACTTTCGTCTGGATGTGGACCATTTTATGGGTTTCAATGGTGGCATGCTCGCATATATGTCCTCCGAACTCTTCTGTGTTCTTTGAGATTGCTGACTATCCTCAAGATCAGATTCATCTTGATCCTGCTCTCGCTTAATGGGTGAAATGGGTGAAATATTTTGCGAAGCTTGCAGTTCTGAAATCGGCTGACTCGCGCAGAGCTGCATGTTGTTGTTGCTTAGACTGACAATGGTCAAACTCGTGCTGGGTTGACTAATTTCCAACGGATTGTCTACTTGAGTCGACACTGTCTTCACATTACTGACGATTGTGCTTGTGCTCTTACCGAACAGCATTCTATTGCACGATTCAACCTTTTGGTTCAACGTTTTCTTTAATAACAACGACTCCTTCGGTTTCGACACAACCTTTAGGTACGAGGATTCTGTTAAACTGGTAGCCGGATTGGGCTTTTGCAAGCATTTCTTGCTGAAGTCGTACATCATTGTGGGCTGAGAATTTATTGACACGTTTGTGCACTTCGCAGCTGGAGGCAAGAAGATGTTCTTCGATAGATTAAACGAAGACGGGGTAGACATCTGATTAGTATCTAAGCTTGCGACAGAAGACTGAGCTTGCTTGTCATCCGTATTGACGTCTTTCGAGTAAAACAAACTGTTGCTACTGCTTGGAAGCTGCCAAAACTTTGTTGCCATCATTTTCGACGTGTCAGTTGTTGACCTCTTTCCCAAAGTCTTAACGTCCGTGCTGGTTCCACTAATGCTATGGCAAGTAATTGGCTGTACAATCGATTGACTTAACACAGTGTTCTTTGTAAAAAATCCTTCCAGTCGTGGTATTTGAATACCAGAGGAAACAAGAGGTTTCGACAACTCCAGACTCTTCGAATTGTTTCCAGATTCATGCGTAGATGTTTCTTTCTGTAAAATCGGAGGGTTAGGAAAACTCGGGTTCAAATACATAATGCTTGTATTAGGAAGTTTAGGCTCTTGGGGATTGGCGATAGGCCAAGGCTTTGGTAAAACTGTTATGCTACTTGATGCTGCACGCGAAGTTTTCTCCTCTACCGATGGTTTGTCGGTATTGACTTTGGAAGAGACTTCGGTAGCAGATATATTGTAAGCTGCACTCAGCACATTTAATCGAGGAGCTTTTATAATATCTTTTTTCGAGTAATTAGATCTTTCGGTTAACATGGTACCTACACTTTTAAAAGTAGTTTGATTAAACGGTTTCACTTCTTGCACTGTTACTTTAGCATCTTCCCCGATACTTTCGGACTCCATAGCTCTGTCAATTTTAATAGGCTTCACTTGATCAGGAGCATACATGTTTTTCAACCCGGACGGTGTAGAGAACGTCGACTTCGTAAGGGTTACGTTGAGTTTCTTTGCGCTTTTTACGTATAAATTCATTCGTTCTTCCAAAGAAGGATCTATAATTTTTTCAATTCCTTTTAATTCACCGTAAACAGTGTTCACGAGTGGTTTACTGGTAACATTTATAACTGGTTCGTTACCAGAGAATATTATATTTCCAGCTGATTGACTTCCTTTCCCTTGAACTATGGAAACAACATCCTTCACCATTGGAGATTTCTGTTGATTTAGACTAGGCATTGCCATCAGCTGTCGCTGTACATTAGCGTCAGACACGTCCAAAGGTTCGCCAGTGTCGAAGATGTTTATATTTAAATGCTTGTTTTTCTTTTTATTAGAGCTCCTTGATTTCGGTTTCTTTGGTTCCCCAGATTTTGAATGTTTCTTCTTCTTTTTAACCGGTTTCCCTACGACTTCCGAGAAGTCCGATTCGTCCTCCATTTTTACATTTTCAATTATATTATCGTGAGGTAACATAATGCCGGAACAGCCCTGCTCGTTGTCTTCCATATGACTGCTTTGTTCCGGAAATGACGAAGGTAAAAAGCTTAAGCCATCGTCAGGTTCTACTTTAATTTCAGTCTTTACTGTTACAGTCCCTGGAATATTTCTAGCAGAGTCCTTTCTTGATTTCTTCTCTTTCTCCGCGTTCTTCTTCTTTCGCTTACGACTCTTCTTACGGTTGTAACCATCATCGTACACAGTAGCTTCATTTACATCTACGGTAAAACCAATTTCTTATTAATATACTAACCAGTGGTTAGTTATTTCAATTACACTAAACATCATAAACTTTGTAATTAAGAGACAGCAAATATATATACACAGCAAACATAATGTTTACCCATTTCTCCAGCCTTCAGCCAAATATCTTCCAATACTTCTAATTGCTGCTCGTCAGGTTGATCATCAGCTTCTTCTAATTCAAGATCTTGTAAAACTTTCTTGACGTCCGGTGGTATATCCGGGCGATTTACTAACTCTTCCATATCGACATCTGGATTTGTTGCCATAATATTTTTCTTTTTGTGTATCGTATGGCGTTTATTCTTAGGTGCCGCACTCAAATAACTCTGCGGTAATTGACCGTTACTGCTATTACTGCATAATAAGTCCATCTGAGACGGCATAGGTGCAGCTGTCTGCCTAGGATCTTCAGGATGCGGACCAATATCCTCTCCACGTAACCACAATTCATATCTACAATGAGTTATTCATAATTAGCAAATAGTTACCAATAATAGAAAACATATTCTTTTTGAAGACTCATTACCTCTCTGGTTGGAAACGTTTCACGAACGTGTCCATGGATATTTTAACCATATCTTTACTACAGGTACATTGTATAGCCCTTTTTCCATACTCCACCCATCGTGGTGTAGCAAAATTGGTTGATTCAGCACAATTGAATCCGTGATTGAAACCAGCATGATAGCCATATGGGAAAGTGATCATTATTTCTCCAGCCTCTTGTGTTATCTAGAAAAAAATTAACACATCGTTTATAGCAGACATGTGTATATATCTAATAATAAGTAAAAAATAGGCAAAGAAAACGGAACTTACTTTATTGCATGGAATAGAATACTGTCTTAATATTTGAGGAGAAATAAGAGACATCTTGTGCCGTAAGAACGCTTGGCAGCTCTGATGGCTCGATGGAAAGAAACCACTGGCAAGCCTCTCCAATCTTCTTCCATGTTCAGGAGGTATCGCATACCATGTCTTTGGAGCTCCAAAGTGTAAATAATTTATCGAATATAAATCCATGTCTTCTGTATGCCATGCAAACGTAGTTTTCCACATTCCAAAATACAGATACGCTGTATTGACACCATCGATAGATATACCATAATCTTTGTTAACATAATCAAGTATTGTCCCTAAATGATTAATGTTCCACTCTTTCACGTCTGGATCCGTCAAAGAACCAGAAACATCCGCCCCATATATAGGAGCCACGTAAGTTATATTCTTCCAATATTTTCGCTCCAGGTCTTCATAGTCAAAATGACGTGGTGTATTGTAACGCTCCGAATTAGCAAGCTTGCTATATTCCTTCACGGTCATTGACTTCTTCTGTATATTAATTTGCTGATATAGTCCCTGTTTGCCAGTGACCACCTGGCAAATAGGTGCAGGAATGGTCAAATCCAAGTTATCCAAGTTATAACCTCCCTTCCTCGGAATCCATTCAGGTGGTGGAATCACTTTCGCTAAACCTGCTTTATGCGCGCCTTTGCTTTCCATGTATTCCACATACTTGGTAAAGTCCTTGAATTCCTCGTAAGTAGGCCTAAAGACCTGAATACGGGGCGTACCCCGTGAAATGTTGCTAACCATTTTTCTTTAATTTACATACCTGAAAAGACAATCGTAAATTAGATATCTTATTTAGCACAAAAATCTTAATTCTCGCTCTTAAAATCTATGCGAATACAGATGCAACTTTTCCGGTATAAATATTTAAAAAAAAACAAGAAAAAAGAAAATAATAATATATCACCTAACATACATTGCCATAAAAACCTGTTAACGTTATTAAGGGCGATAACTACGAACACAAACATCCTGCAATGTCAATTAAAATTGCAATCGCGATAAATGACACATAACGATAAACACGAAATCAAAACATCCCGTACATTCATGATACACATGCAAACACCCGACACAATCAGTGTATTACCATGAATTACTTAAACATTTACACAACAATGAGCAACGAACAAAGTCGGTAACTATGGTTAAATAAACGGTTCCGATTAATTTCCCGTAGATTTCATGTTTTCATGGATAATATTCGAAAACACGGATTGATGTGTACGAAGCGCGATGTTTTCGGAACGTAACATGCCGGAGGTGCATAAACAAAATGGATGATAGCTATTGTCAAGAATGGCCCTTAAAATAAACTCTAATGACCAACATTTCGCCGATTTCACGGATGAGAAGCAACGAGCCACAGAGAAACGTAAGAATCGTTGTCATCAACAATACCCGTTGCACATTTCGTTCTCTCCATTCGGATTTTCGATGCGGATACGACGGCTAGTCACGAAATCTCGTGTTGGCAGTAATATTGACCGACAGAAGATTGTCGCCAACGGAACCGCACGAGAACTTTCACAGATTTCATTAATGCAGGACTACGCACGTTACTTACGTTGAGATTATCCGCGAATGCAATCACCTTTCCTGTATAAACACCATGTTCGTCCAAATATCGTCGTGGATTCTGCGATTTGACACATTCACCGCTTTACCCCGCGCGTCTCGAATAAGCCTGATAAAGATGGCGTTCGACGCTCTAGCAATCTCGGACGCCGGGACGATCGCGCATGCGCACAAAGCGGGAAATTCAAATTTTTGCATTTTGTCACGTACATGCTTTTACGTCCACGTTAACACGGATGCCGTCTGTTTCGAGTGTTTCTGCAAAGTCGGTCGTGATTAGCGTGAATGGTTTCGGTTGCGGAAGTACGATTGGACAAACCAGAAGCGTATAAAATAGAGAATGTACAGTGTTTATCATTATTCGAACAGGACTATTTTTGTTCGATAAGTTTGTTAGCATTACGACCAGGTTTGTACTACAGCAGAAAAAAAATAATCTACAGAAAAGTGATAATGATTGGTGCACGCAACGTTTTAAGTGTGTGAAATATTTTTCGACGGTTCTGATCGCAGTCTCGTGGACACAGCTTTGTATCTTATTATAAATATCGTTTCTGTTATCCCAGGTGTAGAAATACTAACGAAAGTAGAAAAATGAAGAAATTACCGTTACAGTTACGGTACCGCTCGATTACAGTACCCTTTACTTCGTAAACAGCGCCAGGCAACGGCGCGAAGATGCATTTATCACCTGGTGACCTGGACGGTAAGGAAGATCGTTGAAAATGCGAATAGCTTCAGAGAAATTTTGAGAGGGCGGTATAGTCGAGAAGTTGACTAACAATTACACCAAGGCAGTTTACATGCTACGAGTTTGAATCTGTGGTTAATTTAATTCTTACATTCGAATGTACTGCGCTATTACATCTGAGTAAGTAACCGACGAATTTCCGTATATGCGCGTCGTTTATTATAAAAGATCGTACGGTTAGCAACGTAAAACGATTCGTTGAATTTTCGGTTTTATTTAGAACCTAACAAACCCTCGAATTGCAGCAGAGAAATTACGTGAATGTTGAACGTGATGCGTTAACGAATGTCGCATGGGTAAAATAATACCAGAAAAGTTTTTGTGGGTAACCTTGTCGAGTTGGCGAGGATTACAACTAGTTGGGAACGTATAAACGAGCTGCACGGTGTGCTTGTTAAATCATACATATACACGCGTGTCGTATAAAAGCGATCTTTTTCAGGAAACCGAAATAACGTGCGGTACGTTCGAATAAAAATTAAAAAAAAAATGTCGAGCTACGAATACTACTTCTATATATACTTCTATAGAATGTAATTTAGTTCGTAGCATCTGTGCGAGAAATTCAAACAGGCATGTCAGAGATAAGGCGTCACGAATATAATCAAGCTGCAGACAACGCTTTCTGTGTGCTAGTGTATGTAGTGATTGGTCTCGTTTACGCTCGGACTCGTTCGAATCTCCGTCGACGTAACAGTTTGAACACGTCCGAATTTACGAGCGCGCGTAGCGTTCAAATTTTCGAGTTACATACTTGTTCGACCGACTTTCATTCGAGATACATTTTTCTGGACATTCGTCTACGCGACAACGCATCTCAACGTACATTTCATATACGAGTAGCCTTTCTAACGTTTGAATGAAAATTTTACACAAGAATTCTCTGCTTTTCTAGAAAACGGATGGATTACAAGTAATCAATTCAATGGTTAATGTTATTCCTATGCATAACCCATTAGGCCCTTCAGTTATTACTCCTCTTCTCGATGATTGTCCATTACCATCGAAAGTACACTTATACTTTTTTTGTGATTTATTTCGTACGTTTGGACTTGCTAAGGTTATATTTCTAGAAAACAACACATGGAATATTCTGAATAGCGTCGTTGACTTACGTCGTTCCCCGGAATAAAGCAACAAAATGGCAAAAATCCGGCAATAAAACTTTCAAATCAGTCTATATAATACTAGTTTCTCGAATGCGATTACGAAGCGGCTGACAGTCGGCATGCGCGGTCGTCGGTTAACTTTCAACATGTGCCAGGACAAGGACGCGCGAGCAGATAGGAGGCGCTAATAGTTCAGTCGTCGTCGAGTGCGTCGAGGGTGATGGTATCGCATCGTCGCGACTCGATGCGTGCGTGACTTTTCTCAACGGAGCAGTCTTTTCTTTCAACGGTGCGCACGGTATAGAAATCGACTTTACGTTTACAACGGAGTGCCCAACGCGGTTACGATTCTATTTCGTGGTCGAAGAAAGAAAAAAAGAAAGATCGGCGCGAATGGAATCTCGCGACGGATAAGAATTTACAGAGATAAACGTACATGAATATATATAAAGAGAGAAAGAAGGACCGCGTACATATACATGTGTACACATGAAAGTTGTGTGTCGATAATCTGGCAAAACATTGTTGAAGCGTCTGCCACATTTTTTCCAAGCCGATTGAATTGCACACCTGCTACTTTATCGCGGATCGATTTCTTAAATCGATCGCGACTTTATAAGACGATAGCATTTGATAAATAACATCACCGTTTAAGATATATATATAAATACTTTGCTCGCCGCGGCGCTTCGGGACTACGATTTGGCGCGCACCAGTGCGTTTCACCCTCTTCTTTCCCTCGAACGACCGACGGCCGTGGCACAAAGTGTGTTCCGTGGCACGTGTATACGAAAGTAGCAGTTCGCGCGCTTGCGGGATCGCCGACGTAGCGTCCCTGTATCCGCGCTCGCCACGAAAGTGTATTCTCGTGTTTTCCTCGCATTTAATCTGCGCGCAAAAGTAAACGCCCAGCGTGGTTTCTTGATTTCAGTCGCGGAACGACGGGGCCTTCCATCGACGTGACAAATCATCGGTGTGATAAATCAGTGATCCGCGGATATTGTGATTAAAGATGGACGTTGCGTAGGAGTGTCGCGTGTAACGTTCTCAGCGGACTGTACCGCCTCTCTACGTAAGTATCCCTCCGGCTAGCTTATAGTTTATTTTCCCTTTCGTCGCTGTTGTTTCGTCGATTCGCGAGGAAGATGCGATCGGTGTACGGTGAGCATTTCGCAGTTTCGTTTCCCCGCGAGAAGCGTCGCTCGATTTGAAAATGTAACGAAGCTCGAACGCAAGTTTATTCCCCAACGGAAAAATTGCTATAACGCCGATGAGAAGTTCGTACGTTCTTTTCAGTCGTAACTTAATTGCGTCGTCATCGCGAAGAAGTTTTTGCATGGATGACAGTTGGGAACCGCCTTCGTAATCGTGGCCGACGCTTGCATTCGAAAACATTCGAATCGTATCTCGCGAAATATATTACCGAAAGCAACGGACAAGCAGATACGGACGCACAACAGGATTTCTCCCACGTAGTTTTCTTCGCAATTTCTTGGCCGACGTTTCGAATATTCATTCTCGGCAGACGCTACGCCACACGTATTCGCTTGTGCAGTTTTTTCTGTCAATTCACCATTGCTCTGAATATTTAGCGGAGACTTCGACACACGTGAGATCTTTTCCTTTACTTAATAGTTGTTCGCATTATTTTTCCGTTATCGTTGGACATACAGCGACTCTTCCGGCGGGGCTATTTGGTCGAATACAGGCAAACAAAGCAAGCAGGGTGTCCCAAAAATGTCTCGTAATCCGGAAATGGCGGGTTCCTCGGATCATTTGAAGCAGCTTCTTCCTTTACAAAAATGTTCTCGGAGGCACCGTTAACGAGTTATTAACGAAAAACAGTGACCAATAAGAATCGAATACGGCTGACGCGAGGCGGCCCAGCCAACCAGCGCACGAAGCCCAGTTCCGCTCATTGACTCGGTCGCCTCACGCCAGCCGAGCTCGCCTCTCATTGGTCACTGTTTTTCGTTAATGACTCGTTAACGGTGCCTCGGAGGAAATTTTTGTAAAGGAAACAGTTGCTTCGAATGACCTGAGGAACCCGCCACTTTCGTTTAACTCGCGATGCGTGGACTTCAACTACCGTAGAACTCTGTTTGGAGGACAGTTTGTGTGAATGAGTGGTTCGTGTAACAGAGTCTCGCAGACTATCCCCACCGTCCTGTACTTATTAGTTCTGAAAACCGGCGTACGATACTCTGGAATCATGGTGCAATCGAGCGGATAGCGATTCTACATGTGAAGGTATATCGATGAAGCTGCATTTTTTAAATTCAAGTCTCCTTTCAATAGAAATCGGCTGACGCGTCTGATCGTAGCGCCCACCGGGCTTCTATCTGTAAATTCTGGAACATAAGAACACGCAAATCTGCCAGATGTTGCAACTAATTTTCATCGGAAACGAAACCTTAAACAAAAATACGTGTTATTCTTTGTTTTCGATTTCTTTCTGTAGAATCACGTACCGGCTGCTCGTGACACGATATCGTCGGAAGGAAGATGATAAATTCAGTTCTACTGTGTTTAATTTAACGATACTTCGACAATTTGTCATCGGTACGCTATTGATTTCAGTCACTATGAAATTATTGATTCGATTTTTCTACACCGACCGATTTACGAATTATGAGCGCCGGTGGTCGTTATATAAACAAATAAATTCAGTTCTACTGTATTTAATCTAACGATGCTTCGACAATTTGTCATCGGTACCTTACTAATTTCAGTCACTACGAAATTATTGATTCGATTTGCCTACACCGACCGATTTGCGAATTATGAACGCCGGTGGTCGCTCGCAGATTTTCACGCGTCCAATTAGCAACACAGCTTATCGCGGACTGTCTCTCGATTTGCCTGTGTATCCTTGTCATAAGACAAAGTCGAATGTTTACAACGTTATCAGGGAAGCATCCTTCCAAATAATTGGTAGGATATCGAGTATCAGAGATAGCCCGATAGTGTTCCATGTACATATAGGCGAAGATTATAAACTGGATAAAACGCTGATTTCGTCGATTATCGTTGACGGTCTGCCGCGTGAATCACAAGAAATAATAACGCCGTAATCTCATCGGTTTTCGACGATTCTGTCCGCTCGTCGGTCGGTTAACAAATCAAGTCGTGTACGTACGCGATGCCTCCCTACATCCGCAACACCAAACGGTCATCCGACACCGCGCAGAGCAGTGTCTATCAACTGTCCGCGCTGTGTACTTTAAGCGAACGCGTCGTTCGACCGTCTAGCGCTCGTTAATTAATTATTTGCTGTGCGACGAAAGCCGTGGCGGCCGTGGCGGACGACGTCTCGCGCGTCGCAATGTACATATTTTAGAACGCATAATCGGAAAATACGTTACATTAGTAAAAAAAAAAAAAACGACAGCGACCGACTAACGGTACGTTGTCCGTAACCGCATTCGACGACGCTCTTCAGACAGACCGTACAGCTTATCCGTAGGAGCACTCACACCCACAAAGTACATTCGAAACTCGCACCCCTCTCTCTTCAGACGCGCGTGTGCCTGAAGCCAAGTCGCGCGACGCCGACGGCCGCCCTAAACAGCGTCACGAAATTCTTCCGTCGCGTCGCGACACAATAGAAAACTCTGAGAGCGCTCTTTTTCTAACCTTCTGTAACCTTTTTAAATTATTTGCAATCAAGAGTTCTCTCTCTCTCTCTCTCTCTCTTTGTCTCACACGCTCTCTGTTTCTCTCTCTCTCTCTCTCTCTCTCTCTCTCTCTCTCTCTGTCTCACACGCTCTCTGTTTCTCGCGCTCTCTCTCTCTCTCTCTCTCTCTCTCTTTGTCTCACACGCTCTCTGTTTCTCGCTCTCTCTCTCTCTCTCTCTCTCTCTCTCTCTTAACAATTATTTGTCCAGTCATGCACTACATCGAAGTACACGCGTATAGACGTCTCATTTGCATCGCATTACATAAATCAAATGTACAGAGAAACGATAAGCATGCTGTCTAACGTTTATCGGTACGATCATTGCAAAAAACGATCGCGTGACCGCGGTCGATCGCGAGTCAACGTTCACCGAGAATCATCCTCTCCGAATCGTCTCTTGAAACACTCGTTTCCCAAATAATGGATCGTTCGATTCGTCGAAGAGCAAAATAACGCACATCTCGTCCGACAATTTGCTGCGATGATAATTTCAACGAGGCGACCAGACGATTCTGTCAAACGTGCCTCCAACACGCATTCCGGCGTGCTCAATTGTTAACACTACATAGATTGCTGGAGCGAGTCGATTCGACTCGTATACGATTTTATTGTTGCATACGTATATAGAAAAACTTAAATAATCTTTTTGGAGACATATGTTTTATACGTATGTTGTACACGTTTCTTAATTCTATCAAAAATCGACGTGAGTTTTAAAAAGAATTATTTAAGTTTATAGAATATTATTATATTATATCAGGGTTTCCCAAAAATGTCTCGCAATCCGAAAGTGGCGGGTTCCTCAGGTCATTTGAAGCAACTTTTTCCTTTACAAAAATTTTCTCCGAGGCACTGTTAACGAGTTATTAACGAAAAACAGTGACCAATGAGAGGCGAGCTCAGCTGGCCCGTGGCGACCGAGCCAATGAGCGGAACTGTTCGAGCGGAGTGCGCTGGTTGGCTGGGCCGCCTCGCGTCAGCCGTACTCGATTCTTATTGGTCACTGTTTTTCGTATATATATTATTGACTCATTTGCGATATTATTGCTATATATTATATATATTATATTGCTTAAATAATATTATTGCTATATATTATATATATATTATATTGCTTAAATAATATTATTACTATATATTATATATATTATATTGCTTAAGTAATATTATTGCTATATATTATATATATTATATAGCAATATTGTATAGCAATATAATATCGCAAATGAGTCAAATTGACTCGCTCCGGCAATCCAGTGTTAACTGATTTTAAAGCACTAGGTAGGGATGGAGGATACGAAGCTTTGTCTCGCGTCGGATGCGACAGTGTTCGCGCCCGCGTCTCTGCGCGCAAGCCTAACCAATACGTTAGAAACGACCTCTGGGTCGCCGCATCCACGGTGTTGTTCTTTGTAATGGTACACGGAGAGGTGTACAACGAAACGGTTCGCGCAAGGTCGGCCGCTTGATCGAATGTACGCCGCCTGTATCCGATCGCTTTCATTGAAAGTCTCGGGCCGGCACGTGATTCATTAACGGTAGATAACGAGTTCTTGCTAGGCACGAGATGCGGCGGCAGACCTTCGGAAACAGTCGCGTCGAAAAATGTTTTTCACGCTCGACGGAGACGTCGATCGCGAATTCATAGAGAGAATTATCGCTGCCTCGCTCCGCATGCTGCGATCACTTGCATCCGACGGTGGTACGTGGGAGACCAGCCTCAAAGGGATTGCCGCAGTCCCGTGGCGATGACCTTGGATGCGATTCATTTACGCTTAAATGCATTACCGTTAAATTATGAAATTTCCCTAAGAGAAATTATTTCAAAAATTCTATCGCTCCGAGCGAAATAGTAGAACGCGTCGTTTAACATACAGGGTGTCCCAAAACAAAAATGTGTACACAGTTCGAACGATTGTAACTTCGCTTTTTATTCGCGTATAATTAATATTTTAAATTGCAAAAGAATCTACGTAAAATGCGTAAACTGTCGTTCTGAAACTCCCTGCGACATTCTCTTTATACTTCTGCCGCGTTTTAGAATAAATTTTCTTTTTTCAAAAGTTAATCCTGATCCACTCGTTATACTCAATTAATTACATCTCGAAATTATTGAAATTAAATACACCCCGAATTACACCCGGTTAACCCCTTGTCGACGAGTCTGACTCGTGAGAGGAATTTCTGGTGCAATTTCCTGTTAAGTATGAATATTATTCCGTTTTTTAAAGCCGGAATAAAATTCCATCCTCTCGTCGCCGGTATTCAAGCATTTTAGTAAACTTAGACAAACATAATAAATATAAATTTAATAATAATATAATATATAATAATAAAAATATAATATTATTATATTTAAAAATTTATTAATTTTTTAAATTAATTTATAATATATAATAATAAATATAGTATTATATTATTATAATATATAATAATAAATATAGTATTATATTATTATATTTATATAATAATAAATATAAATTTTCTTTCTCTTCTTCGAAGAAATTATTGCGATTGAAATTGCGCTCGTCATTCTAACTACGAATAAAATGGTACGGCAAGAGGTTAAACGGTGTGCACGTTTGTTTCGGGAAACGTCGCGCCCTCCTCGTGGAGCATAAATTCTACGGGAAACCGGAAGTAACCTGGATCGTTGCTTTCGAGATCTGCAGCGTAGACGTCCGGTTCGCGTTATATTAATAAATTCTCGGCGAAAAAAAAGGGGCAAGAAAAGGTAATTTACGCGCGTACAAGGTGAGAATTAAACGCTGTCGCATTGCTAACGCTGTCCGCCGAAGACGACCTCCGTTCTCGGCCGCGCGCGATTCGCATCATGCAGTCCATGGCGCGCGTCGTTGCGCTGAGGTCGTAGGAACGTGTGCAAGACGGTTCGAGCAAAACCGGCTTCGCAGCCGGGTGTATACAATGTTTGATAATGAATTGTGCGTCGGAGTGAAGCGTTTCCGAAGCGAGCGAGCCGAGTTCCGTGCCACGAATCCGCCGCGGTTTCACCTTGTGATCCAGCGAGTCCGACAAACCGCGAAACTTCTCGGCAAGCGAGAATAGCCGACGGTGGAAATTTTGATCGCTTCTCGGATCGCAAACTTTGGCACGCGGAGAGACACCGCATTATTTTGGCCCTCGCCGTGTCCTTTCCGAAGCGACTAATTTCGTTGTTTCGTACATGTATACGTACATATACAGTAAACTCGATTGCGCCATGAATTTTCAGGCCGATCGTTGCACATAATAATTCCCGCGGTGCACAATGAGTTCACGGTTCTTCGTGTACACGGATATCGCGCGGAACGCGAATTTGCAATACAGATTAACCCGGCCCGTCGTTCAGGTTATGTCGCGTCGATGTCCCGCGGCATCGAAGTCGATTGTCGATAAAGTGGAAAGACTTTCCTGCGAGCCGACGGTATCGAACCAATTAGAGCGGTGCTCTCTCGCCGAGAGAATATTCAATCGGAATCTTGAGTGCCATTGTCTGTGGAATTCTGCGAGATATAATTCTGTCCGAGGTCTACGGAGAATTATTTCTTCCGATCGAGCACGACGGTGCGGTTGACGATGGTTCGGGAAAGTTATTCTTTTATGGTGTTCGAGTAGTGTAACAAAGACATCGAGCACGGCGAAGATGAGGATAACGATTGCCGTGACTTCTTCGTGTATGTACAGTGGCCCGCAAAAGTGATCGTATACCTTTTAGAACTTTTAACCCTTAGGGGACCAAAACTATTTATTTCCAGTTTACACACTGCCAAGTCCAGACTGTTTCTCAGACGAAGAGAAATTTTTTACTTCGTTGATATATTTTCATCGAAACAATCGTGCCTATTCTTCCAATATTTCCTGCAAGATTTTACGGTTTTATTGATTTCTGCCGCGTGTATGGCGGCATTGGAGTGTTAAGGGTTAAACCTTTTGTATGTTTTTTCGAACTTATGAATTTGTTTTTTTAAATGACAGAGGGACCAGTCTACTAGACATTGACTAAGATGCTTTTTTTTTAATTTTGCTAGTACTTGTGACGACAACAAAAAGGTATAAAAAAGAACTCGCGTTTTCTCGACGTTTTTTTTATCTTGAGTCTATAACGAAAATGTGAAAAATGCGTTTTGTAAATATCGGTGACTTGCATGCGTGCTGGAATTTTTATCGAAACCGGTTGACGTTGTCCTTCGGACAAAAACTGCAAGGAATCTGCAGTTTTTGAAATCTTTCGAGTTTGAAAAAAGTTATTGCGTTTTAGCACTATAAACCTACCACCGCCGGTGGAACGATCGGACTCACATTTTGTATTTCATATAATTATTAACCCTTTGCACCCGAAGCCATTTTAACTGTAAATCTAAAATAATTTTTCTGACTTATAGTATATATCCTTTCTGTATAACAAAGTTCACTTTTTATGCATATGAAATTGAGTTTTGTGACTAATATAACAATTATTACAACTTTCAATTTAGATTTCTCAAATCTAAACCTTGATAATACAGGGTGTCCCGAAAATGTCTCGCAATCTGGGAGAGGATGATTCCTGAGGTGATTTGAAGCAACTTTTTCCTTTGCGAAAATGCGATTCGCGGCTTTGTTTACGAGTTATTAGCGAAAAACGGTGGCCAATGAGAGGTGAGCTCGGCTGGCGCGCGGCGGACCGGCCAACGAGCGCACGAAGCTCGGTTCCGCTCATTGACTCGGCCGTCTCGCGCCAACTGATCTCGCGTCTCATTGGTCACCGTTTTTCGTTAATAACTCGTAAACGAAGCCGTGGATTGCATTTTCGCTAAGGAAAAAGTTGCTTCATATAACCCTAGGAACCTCCCATTTCCGGATTTCGAGACATTTTTGGGACACCCTGCATAAAAGTTATCTTGCGACGTCATATAACAATTTCAGTGGCACCTCAGAGTCGTCACTCGAGTGCAAAGGGTTAAATTCTTTATTCGGGCACGCGTTGTTTTTGAAATTGTACGAAATTTGAATAAAGTCTACCTAAGAAGCAAGAAGGCAAGAGTCTAAGAGGAAATTTTTGTTAGTCGCTTTTAGACCCCGGTAAAAGTGTTAAAAGGTGTGCGGACACATTCGTGGTCCACTGTTTGTTTTCATATTCTCGGGTCGAGATCCAGGTCGCAGCGACCGGTGCTCCAGGGTTAAATAAAAATACGGGTGTTGGCCGTAAATGTCGACAACATTTGTTTCTGTCGACCGGCGCGTGTGCCTTTAACCCCTTAGCTTGTACGCTCGAGTTAATTCGAGCGCGCTAAACAGGCCAAACTGTGCACACTCGATATAATTCGAGCGGCGTTGTATTTTATGCTGTTATAATTTTTCACACTCGAATATAATCGAGAATTGAAAATAACAATGTGAAAGCAAAGAAAAAAAAATCGCTTTATCGATATTTATCTTTTACATGGGATTGTAAGCTATAACGCTTATTTATTAAAGAATAAAATATAGCCTTTTTCCATGGAACAAAAGCGCGGTGTGTCAAAATTCTTCACCAAAAGAAAAGTTGAATCAAATGGAAACCTTCGAGAATGTGGATTTGGTTGGATATTGCTTATCTACTTTCAATCAACGGCTATATCTTCTTCCGAACTATCTTCAGAATCACTACTATACTTATCGCTTTCTTCTGAGCCGCTTTCCGACAGCGTATTCACATTCAGATTCTGATTCGCTCATTTTTCAATATATATTTTACTAAAATATAATGTAAAATAAAACATAATAATAATAATAACAACAACAACAATAATAACACATTAAAGGCGGGTGTCGTAGTACTACGATTTATCTCGACTTCTCATAAATATGTACTTTAAAACATTTTTTGTAATTAGTGTTTAGTTCTTTTTTAATATTTCTTTTAGTTTTAGGCGGGGTGGTCGCCGCGTTACCTGGCATACTTTCGTCAAGATCCCCCGCCTTTAATGTGATAATAATAATAATAATAATAATCTGAAAATTTTTGCCAAGACAATGTCCTAAATTGTGTTTTTTTGCATGAAAAAAATTGATCTTTTTGGCCAGTTTAAAAAAAAAAACTGTGCGTTAAGGGGTTAACAATGTTGATATGGTGCGGTAATTGATGCGTCGCATGACACGAGCGAGAGAAACGTAGGACGATCGTGCGGCGACCGGCGTAGTGTGCCGACCCGAAACCATAAGCGCGCACCGCCCACGGCTGATTGTGAAATGCAACAACCAGTTCCACCAAAACCCCTGTCCTTTGTCTTTTCTGTCGTCTCTTTGAATTTTGCCGTGAACGCGGCCCGCGTACGCGTACACCGCGGTTCGCGTAACTTTCTCAAGCGTTTCGTTGTGTTTAGCGAGCCTGATAACAATTGCCCAGCGTACGGAAAAGAAAGAGAAAGCGCGCCGGTGTGTGTCCGAATGCCAGTGTCGAGAAAAAGATAGAGAATGGGCACGAAAGTACTCATCGAGATGCAACAGCAGCTGAGGCAGGCCATGCGTAGCTCGGAAAACGCGCCGACCAGCACCACCAAAAAATTGGACGACGCGATGGAGATCAACGAGTCGATATTTCTAGTCTTCGAGGATGTCTCCTATATCGCGCGGCCGTGGATTCTGTCCAAAGGTGAGTCGAGAGAGTCTAGTAAATTATCTAATCGCGAAACACTGTGCGCACCAGATGGGAGGCACGGCGCGCGGCGGAAACGTTGGTCATGCAGGCCTCTGACTTACCGCACTCATTCGAAGCTACAAAGCAGCAGATCGAGAAAACAGTTGAAATGCTTGCAAGAGAGAATTTGAATTACATTCTAATCGATAAAATAATTCAAGAAGGGAATATTCGCGTAGCTTGTGCAAATGATTCAGACATTTTTATTTTCATATAAAAATTCGCAGTCCACTTACATGAGAACCAATTAATACTTTATTTATCGACGACGACGCAATCTTTTCAATAATTGATTCAGGTTTTGTTAATTAAGGGGTTTAATCAATTTTCTAATAGCTTCTGATTATTTTTATGTTTTTAAAGCAGCACTATCTGTGTGGTTCTGTAATTCGAACGCTGTTAATCATATTGTTTACTTGTAGGTTTAATTGTAATGTAATTTGTTACACATATTGTTGCGCATATCGTTGTTCTCAGGTATCCTTGATTTAGTTACAGTGGCTGTAGAAAGCATTTATATACTTTATAGAACGTAAAATAAGTTTATTATTTATTATAATAATATCAGAATAATTTTATTTATATTATTCCTTATAACTGGGCCAAACGGTCTAAATTTTCGTTGGGGATGTTAGAATGATTAGTTTACCAGACACGGGCTAAAAAATTATTTTAAAAAATTCCAATTCGTTGACATGAGAAAAGAATAAAAAATAATGTTTTTTCAACTTTTTTATCTGAGCCTAGAACGAAAATTTAAAAAATACGTTGACCTACACACGAGTTTTACGCAATTAAAGGAAAATAATTTTTTAGTCATTATTTAGTAAATTAATTCCTCTATTATCCTCCAAAAAATTTAGACCGCTTGGCCCGATTATAAAAAAAGTTATTCTGTTTTAAAAAAGATGCACGAATACTTTCTACACCCACTGCATTTATCTCAAATACATATATTGGGCACTTGAGTGCGTTGCAAATAATCCTGTATAGGGTTACACAGTATTCGATAAAAAAAGAATAAATAACTGCAGCTGTCTCATTTGCAAAGTAATAGGAATAACTGTTGGATCAAGCTGCTGTTAAGAATATTTCGATGATCGAAAATTAATTGTTATTACATGCACGTAGCCGACGAGCGCTTGATAACGAGTTCTACACGCAATGTCATTAATATCCGCGTATGCGCGTATAATGAATATGCGAGTACGCGCGACGACACGATGGAAAGACGATTTTCCTTGGAACCGTCTGTGAAATGATCTTTTATCGAACGTTGAACACGCGCGTTATAATTAACACTATGCCGTCCGCAGATCTTAGAAATGATTCTTTTGTTTGACGCCGGCATAATAGCTTGGAAATGTTAGATTTTTTAAAAAATTTCGAAGATGGCGGTAATATAAATTCCTACAATTAAGATATGTCGTCCAAGAATTTTCGTGCTTAATTCTTAGTTAAATAAGCACAGTGCTATAGTTAGTTTGCTCTGCCTTTGAACACCCAAGAAATATAGTTCAAAGGTTATTTCAGTTTTTTAAAATGGCACCAAAGTTGTACCACTGGCATACAACAGATAGTTTTTGGCATGGCACCAGCGTGGTGCCACCGGACGGCATAGTGTTAAAATGAAAATATCGACGGAACGCCATAAAATACATATGTTTATAAATATGCCTCGTGGGCCTGTGCCACTCGATTCAACCGTTCGAGTGCGGATATTTATATACATACAGTTTCTTCGCGATATGGTCCAGCATCGACGCGAGTGGAACGATCATTTCCGATCAAGTTACGCGCCTAAGAGGCGTCCCGCTCGCGACAATTATAATGTACAGACTGTTACAATTGACTCGAATAACAAGTGGGTCGCCCATGGGTGAAGTGCAGACCAGAGATTGGCGCAATGGGAAACGTTGAACTCGTCAATAATAATGTCGTCCCCCGAGATACACTTAACTTATTATCTGTCATCGTTCTCGTCCTCCGCGCGGCCATGTTTTACCATAATTAATCGAGCCACGGCGGCCCGAACGGTCTTAGATCCAAACGATTACAATACAGTAATGTCTCTCTTCTTGGTGTAACTTGGTATGCCAATCCCGACGCCGAGATATATCTACGGCTCTGTAATTTATCGATTTTCTTGCGGACCTTTAATTTATCGATTTTCTTGCTATGCTAAAGTTCGATGGTGTTGCTGAACACGCATGCTGCGGCACGCTTTGCGGCTCCTTTGACTCGAATTCCCGGAAGACAACTCGTAACGCAATGACATAACTTTTTTTTAATTTTAACATTTTAACACTGATCTTTTTTTAACATATTGCTGATAGTCTTCTGATTAAAATGAGACCAAACACGATATAGTTTGGACAGATATTTCTGTTGACAAAATCAAAGACGATAGACGTTGCACGTAATTTACTGCCAAGATGCGCGTGGTGCGCGGTGGAAAAGAGTTTAGGCAAAGTTGTTGACTTTACCGATGCTGTAACAAATAATGTGAAAAAAAATTAATTTGTAAATAATTCATATTCAAATTGGTTAAATGTCGTGTTCTTTCTCGATGTTCGACATCTTAAAATTCCAGGGTCGATGGAAAATGTACAGAAAACAGTTCCTTTACAACCTCCACGCGTAGGCTCGTCCTCAAAATGATGTCGCTTCTCCCGTCCCAGCAAACACTTCGTTCTTGGCCGTCTTCGTTTCCTTCTGTCTCCTATCCGTGTAAAGCTTCCTACTTCCGGTGTCTAACGTAGGCTCGAATAGCGTAACTTCGGTGATATTTTCTTTCGAAAAACATACGTGCATACCTTCTTCGACCTTGCCTTTAATATTTCATACGTTAAAAATCGGTTTTCGTAATGCTTTCCTCGCAAATAAAATAAGTTACTTATTACATATAACGAATAAGAATGGTCTAAAGCATGTCGTGTTTGGTATCATTCTAATTGGAAAAATGTGACCAATGTATTAAAACAATTTTCCTGTATAAAAAATCGGCTATCTCCGATGCTGACCGCCGTCTTACATACATAGTATACAACATAGTTTCGCTCGACTCAAGTTTCGTTCAATCTCTTTCACTTTCACGAGGTGTCGCTAACAATAAAGGCGAGCCGCGAGGCTCGAAGAAATCAATTCCTGCGTACCACTCTCGACATTTTAGAATTCGGTCCCGGCGACAGATAGGGAGACATTACTGTATTCGCATCTCCAGCCCCCCCCCCCCTCCTACTCGCATTTCCAGTGCCCAAGGTCGCGAAGAAATCGCTCGGCGTATTGGGTCGAGTCATAAACAACTTCCGATGCAGCTATGAGTCACCGGGACGAACGCGTTCTCGCTTTCGCTTTCGCTGAATAGGTTAAGGGTACGAAGTAAGTCAAATAGAAGAACGAAAAAGAAGTAAACAAAGAGAAGAAAGTAAATGTCTCTGATAAAAAAAGAAAAGGAAGTCGTTCGCGTCTCGACCCGATGTTTTCGTTTTCGCCCCGGGTAAGGCAGATCTTTGGCACGCGACATCGAATGTTCGAGGTTAATTTTAGAATTCTTCGCCGATACAGCACGCGGTTTCCTCTTCGAACGAGAAATGATCGATGGGCATCGATCGGCCGGAAAATATATAAAACGAGCGACGGGGACTAACACGAGCAAAAGCGATGGGAACGGTGCTCTCGATTTTTCGCCGTCGGCGCAGCAGTTGTTGTTTAAAAGTCACGCGCGTCGGTGGTCCCTTCGAACCCACTCGGCTTCGGATGCTGTCGGAGAATTCGTCCCAGAGCGTATAAATAGACAGCGTGCACAATAGTACGCGTAGTCGGTCGTGTGTGTGTGTGTGTGCGCGCGCGCGCGTGTTGCCCGGCTGTTATGAGTTTATTAACCCTGAACCACTGGAGGAACGACACGGGGATAAACACGGGCTAAGAACTCGCGGAGAAGAAGAAAAAAAGAAATGTGTATGTTGTAATGGACGCCGGCGAATCGCCTTTAGAAAATTCAATGGGGCCATTGTCGGGTCCGTGGCCAATTGTCCAGGGAACGGTTCGCATCTTCGGCCTCTCGAACGTTTGCTTTATATACATGCATAGATACATACATACATACATATGCGTATTATTCGCGACGCGTATGACAGAGTTCTTTGTTAATCTCATATTATGGGTTAACTCTATTGCCCTCGTCGTCCTATCTGTCTATTTCTCTCCTTCGCCAGTGTTTATCCGACTCTTTGACAACGCGCGACGAAAGAAATTGTTCCAATCGGTTCACAGTATGAGCATACAGTGACTCGTATTAATATTCGGACACTATATTGTTAGAAGAATTATTGCTCCTTTTTATTGTTTAACATAGTATTATTGAATCGATTGTTTTCTCATACAGGGTGTCCCAAAAATATCTCGCAATCCGAAAGTAGGGGATTCCTGAGGTCGTTTGAAGCAACTTTTTCCTTAGGGAAAATGCGATCCGCGGCTTCGTTTACGAGTTATTAACGAAAAACAGTGACTAATCAGAGGCGAGATCATTTGGCGCGAGACAGCAAACGCAAGCCTTCTCCCATAAAAATTTAGTCTTTCCGTTGTTCCCAGTGCAACAGCCATCGTCTCATTTGATTACCGAGAATTAACCGATCGGATGGCCGTGTTCGAACGCGTCGGGTCAAAGAAGACCCGGTGACCGTAGGCCCGACGGTTTAAAACGCCGCGAAACGAGGCCCGAACGTCGACGAATGGACGACGCTCGCGTCGTTGATGACAGAAATTTTTACGAAACATCACGCAAAGCAGCACAGAGATCTATTGCACGCTAACCGGCCGTCAATTGGCCGTTAATGAGGATTCGTGATAACGCCATGTCCTCACAATTAATTCACCATGTCCTGTTTGCGTACTAAATCCAATGTCATCGCGCGTTGTCCGACCGTTCCCGGGAACACCGTGGAACATCGAACGGTCGAACGCGTTTCAGACATCCTGAATTCGAACTTCGAATTCGACCGAACATGTACCTCGAACTATCGGAATACCGTTCTTATCATCCGCCGCCCAATTCTTATCGCAGTAAACTTCCGCCGCAAGCGACGCGAAGGAACTTCGTAAATCCTGCCGTTCGGTGTTTCGATAACTTCGATAAACATTCGTAATTGCAAAGCCTGAGACGACTGTCTCGATAAGAGACCGTTATTAAATTAGTCGAATTAGTCGAACATTGGTTTGAAAGTCGCTCGTTCCTTCTCAGAGTACGGCGACTGTCTGATTAAGAGAAATTAGCAAACGAGACACCGAAACCGTCGGCCTGCGGTCACCGGGTCATCTTTGACCCGACGCATTCGAACGCGGCCATCCGATCGGTCAATCCTCGGTAATCGAATGAGACGATGGCTGTTGCACTGGGAACAACGGAAAGACTGTCCGCGTGAAATATCTACAAAAATTGTCGATCGAAGCGCAGAATTCTTATAAAATTATAACACCCTCCCACCGCGAGTAGACGCGGAGTTTCTCTCGCGAAACGAGAGAAATGCACGGGTTCTGCAAGGTGAAAGCAAGGACTGATACCAGGACGGAGAGTTAGCACGTTCATCGCCCGACGCGATTTGGCTGAGTTTCTCGCGGGGCCCAAATCCGACTGTCGGAGTGTCGAAACGTAAACATAGCGATAAGCGGGAATAGCAACGATGAAACTCGAGTAGGCCCGTGCGTTGTCGGTGCCCTAATGCTGTAAAGCCTTCGATTAATTATAGACAATAAAATTTTGGGTTCCTAAATGGAGAAAGCGATAAGGTTTTCGGCTAGAGGGCTTCTATTATTCTAGATACTTCATTTAGTCGAGAAGCATACTTGTTTTTGAGACGCGCATCAGTGATTTTTTATCCTCAAAATGTTCATTCGATGGCGTGAAAGTTTAATTGAAAGCGAGGATTGTAGCGATGACGAAGTAGCAAGTTTTAGAAGAAAAGTTATAAATAGAATTTCGTCGAATTCAGACGAAAAGACCTTGACGACATGTTGGAAGTACTTGCTATAGATGAACATAAGAAACTGAACTCTGTTGATAATACATTGGACAATATCCAGTGGAACGAATTCGCCAACAGTCGTTTCCGTTCACCGGAAAAAAGTGGGCTTCCGATGGATTTATCGTTTGACATTAGCGCAAGTGGAATGCTTTCGTTATTCTTGGATTAAAAAAGTGATAAGTCTTTTAATCACAGAAACTAATAGATACGCAGACCAAAAATTGCATCGATGTATGTTGTATATCTTACATTTATATTTTAGTGTTTATTTCTTTAAATTTACTTTAAAAATCCAGCTGAGAGAGAAAATCCTATTAACTTGAATAAGAGGAGCGTCACCCATATTTGGGTGACGGGGCCCCCACGGAAGCATACCCGTCACCCAGATCTGGGTGAGATGCGGCGATGAACGTATTAAAAGCGTGTTGATTTTCGAGAGGAAAGAAAATCGGTGTTTCTCTCCTGAAATTAATAGAGACTTTCGCTATGTATTCGTCGGCTCGCTGCGAGCGATGAACCTTGGCACCCGACACGGGCGATAAGTTGGTCAGTCGTACTCGGGCAGAGAACTCGTTCGAGCGTATAACGATGCATGTGCACACAACTGCACGGTACGTATCGCGTGTCCGCGTTTATCAGATTCGGCGATTTTTGTTCGAAATGCCGTTTCCTTTATTACGTTTCAATCAAATATTCCAGTAATGTCGACTAATTGCTTGGCTCGCGGCGATAAAATCGAATTTGCAGCTGTTCGATCGGGCGCGATAAAAAGGTCGATTGATGATTGATAAGTGGACTGCGAATATTTATTCAAATTTTATATGTTTAAATGTGTGCAATATGTGCGAAAAATATATGCAAAATATACATAGAATTTATGCGAAGTAGAGATAAAATGGATGCAAAATATACTTAGAATTGATGAAAAATATACTAAAAATAGATGCAAGATATATTTAAGACATTTGCAAAATATGGGTAAAATGTATGCAAAGTACAGGTAAAATAGGTGCAAAATATGTGTACTTAAAATAGATGCAAAATATATTAAAAACAGATGCAAAATATACATAAAATAAATGAAAAATATGTATATACTTATAAAAGAAGCAAAATATACTTAAAATAGATGTTTAGAATTTTGTTTGAACATAAGACTACAATATAAAAAGCTTGACAATCGGTAACTATAAAAAACAATTTACACTATCTATCAATAATTATTTCTATGTTTTCAAATTGTTAATCGTCGCCTTTTATCGTGGCAAAAATTAATTTATACGCTGAACGATTTAATAAGACAACAAGTAAAATAAGATATTCTGAACTGTAGAAATTCCGCGCAATATTTATAAATAATTTGTCACGCGAAACATACGCAGTATGTGGAAAATATGCGAACGCGTCGAACGAACCATAAATCAGAGCCATAAACGATTCGGCATTCTTTCAACAAATCGTTCTCTCGTCGAAACAGTTTCCGGTAGCCGAGGCATTAATTATTCGGTAATAATTAATTCGGTAATTTGAACGCGATATAACGTTTCCATTATTATCGCGAAGAGCTGAGCCGCGAAGTTGCCATAACCGGGCAAGTTGAAAAAGGGTGTGGCTTGAACACGGTTGAGCTAAGTGCGCGCGGAATGGGAATGCTAACGCGCCCCAGATCACATTCGAGATGCTCCACGCAGTTCTTGCACCGTTAGCTTCTAGTTTCGATAATGTTCGGAACGGTTTCATCGCGGCAAACTCTACCTTTTTGTTAATTCGTTTTTCTCTCTCTTTTTTTCCAGCGAACTTGGAGTTGCTGAAGAATGTGAGCGGCGAATTCAGAGCTGGCGAACTCACCGCGGTCATGGGACTGTCTGGCGCGGGAAAGTCTACGCTGTTGAACGTGCTGGCAGGCTTCGTGTTAGTAGAACCAACGGCGTAACCGTATTCGTCAAATTATTGCTGTATGGTTGATTCACCTGACCTCCTCGTAACGAGCATTCCAAAATCTGCGAACGGTTTGCTAAGGATTACGGTAATGTCTCTCTAATTGACGCTCACATTGTCCACAAAAAAATGGGCGATTCGGGAAGAGGAGATACGATTATTCGAGCCTTGACATAATCTTGGCAATTTGTAACTGTAAAAACGAACCGCAAGGCTCGAATAATCGTATCTCGTCTTCTAAAAATTGTCCATTTTTATGGGCAATCTGAGCGTCAATTAGAGAGACATCACTGTACAGTAATGTCTCCCTAACTGACGCTAAGACTGTGCACAAAAATGGACAATATAGGAAGAGGAGATATGATTGTTCGAGCCTTGCATCATAACGTTAACATAACCTTGACAATCCGTAACTATAAAAACGAGAGACATAAAAATTAAACTATAAAAATTCGAGAGTCGTATCTTCTCTTCCCAAATCGTCCATTTTTGTGGACAATCTGAGCGTCAATTAGGGAGACATTACTGTAGTTCGAAGAGGAATATTAACCCTTTGCACTCAAGCGGCGACTCCGAGACACCACTAAAATTTGTTATATCACGTTCTAAGATAATTATTACATTAATAAAGTTTAGATTTTTAAAAATTGTTAACAAGTATAACCGTTGTGTAAGTTGCAAGACTCAAATACGCGTGCATAAAATGCACTTTGTCATACAAAATGAATATACTATAAATTAGAAAAATTATTTTAGATTTACAGTTAAAATAACTTCGAGTACAAAGGGTTAACCTTCGAAGAGAGAGGAAGAGAGCGAGAGAGAGCAAAAAAGAGGACGAGAGAGAGAGAGAGGGAGAGAGAGAGCGAGAGAGAGTGTGTGTGTGTGTGAGAGAGAGAGAGAGAGAGAGAGCGGGAGAGAGAGAGAGTGAGTGCGCGCGCGATCACAAAAGCGCGTTGATATTCGAGAAAAAGATCGCTGTTTCTCTCCCGAAATTAATAGCGATTAATTAACTAATCCCGTAGTAAATAAAAGCAGCATCGCTGTCGTTTATTATCGAGCAAAAGATTGCGAACGTCTCCAGTAGCGGCGCCAACGTAGCGCCGAGAGTTAAATAATATTAATTGAGTCGTTGCATTTTTCGAGTACGTTTCTCAAGCTCGGTCAAGGGTTCGTAAATTAATGTCCGAGAACCGGTTGCCGGTTGCCGGTTCAACTCTGACCCTTAATCATTTCTTTAACCTCCGTTCTCTTATCGGTTAACGTCAGCCGGTCAGATTCGGACGGACCCGGGCCCTACAGATAGAAGGAGCTTGACACGGCCCTGATCCTGGATCCTCCTTATTATTAGCAAAGTGCACGCGCGGTCAATATTGTCAATAAATCGCGAGAGACTCGTGCGACTCGAGTATGCACCGCGAACTTTTGCGGTCGCGCGGCGCGTGCTTTATCTCCGAAAGTATTGTACGCTCGAAAAATGTTGGCAAACGATAGCGAAATGTGTTCGACGACTTTTGCGAAAAGCGAGCGGAACGAAACCGATCGGAGAGGAAGCGTCGACGACGATCCCGGGTCATCGGGCCTGGCAGGCTTATTGGTTGTGTGTTCAGTGTTTCGAATAAGAAGCCCGATCGTTTTAAAAGGCGGCACTCGAACAGTGACCCAGAAGGTCATGGACGCTTCCTATACGGTCCGTTTCAACTTCGTTTTCTTCGCACGTCTTCGGACGTCTCGGGAAACGAACAGCAAACGATTTATGATTCACCGGACGAACGAGTACATATCGAGAAGTTATAGAGAAGTTATATAGTTATATGTAGCATACATATAGTATCATATCAGTAGTATAATATAGCTCTGTTCGAACTATGAAACTTTTTCCGTTCGCATTTTTCAAAACAATTGCACAAGCTTGCCGACAAAAGTTGAAGAAACAGCGTCACGCGGATAATTTGTATCGCGTCGAGGGAAATATTAATTGTATTCTTTTCAATCTTCTTATAATTTCTAAATTTTTTATTTGTATTTTATTTTCGCATTTTGTGTCTTTAAATAAGTTTCTTTGTTTACCGTGTACACCGAATGAAACAATATTGTACTACAATGTGCACTTTGAATTTAATAGGACGTAGATTTATTAAAATATCAAATGTTATTCGAATGTCATCAATATGTAAAATTTCTTAACATTTGTCGGCAAGTGTACACAATAATATTCATCCTCGGCAAATATTTCTTCCTGATCAAAAGTTTTTAACGAACAACCGAACAGCTGCATGATTTTTCTTACAATGTACACTAGAAATGCAATAATTGCGAACGAAAACCCTTTACAATCTCGATAATTGTAAAATGTACGCGTTAAGTGCGTTAATCGTATTTTTTTATTTTTTATTAATGATTAATACGGTCGGCCGTGTAATCTGTAGCGTATGAACTGCGCGATCGACCGTATTAATCGACACCGCTGGACAAAATTCTGACAGCCGATTAGATAGGGGAGGTCTCTGAATGCGTAAATCTGTCACAGCGTTCGTTTGAACGCATACAACGATATACGTTTGCATTTCCGCTCGCTTTATGTAGCACTGTAATCCCGGTCGCATGTCGTTCACTCGCTGTAACACGGTTATCGCCGATAAACCTTGGGTGACCAAAGAAATCTTTTTCATTCCGTGGTAGAACGATAAAATGACTGTTTTCATCGCGTCTGCGACGCTCTCGATCTCGGTAAACAAGAAATAAATTGTGCTCGTCGCGTGTGCACGATGCGTTGCTATGGAAACCGAATTCGAATTTAAGTTCAATTTAACTCTTAACGATTTTAAAGAGCTTTTCTTTCAATAAATCGTTCTGTATCGGCAACGATTCTGACCGTGAGGCAACAGTTATCTTGACTGAAACATGTAATCTCCGAGCGCCTCTTAAGATCATTATTTAAAAGAAAGTTGTCGAGCCTCTTTCGGATATAATATGGTCATTGATTGGTTCATTATAATTTCGTATATAAGATTATATAATATATAATAGTAATATACTAGTAATATACTATATAATTATATATAATAGTAATATACTATATAATAGTAATATATACTATTATATAGTATATTACTAGTATATTACTATTATATATTATTATATATTACTATTCGTATATTAGCTTTATAATCTCCAATAATTTTTAAAGAGAGAGCAGACATTTATCGTTTATAAACTCATTGTATACATTTTCAACGATATTAGTATTATTATTCATAAATTCAGTGAGATATTGTTTTGGTCAAGTCAATCGCTAACACCTGTCCATTATCGTCGGCTAACACGTGACTGGAACATTGAATTATAAAAGCATTAACTGTACGAGGCGTTTAATTCCACTTCAATCAGTCCGAATTACGTTTTACGGCACGATAAGACGATTCACAGCGCGATTGAACGCATGTCTACTTTGAGCGACTTGTTAAGTAGATTGAGCACGCTTTAAATCATGCTTCCTATACTGTATCGGACCATTAACGAATGATCGAGGCCATTGAATTCATTCAATGAACGGCGCATTATTTTTACCGATCGGCATTCCCGACGAATTAATTAATCCGGAATCTGTTTAATTGTGCAGGACGATCGGCGTGAACGGGAACATAATGGTGAACTCAAGGACCAGAAATCTCTCTGAATTTAAACGATCGTCTGCGTACATAATGCAGAACGACAATTTGCAGCCGTTGTTGACCGTACAGGAGGCCATGGACGTTGCTGCGGATCTGAAGCTCGCCATGAGTCAACAACAAAAAAAGCAGAAGGTAGTACGCAGTCGCTTGATTTCCATTCATTAAGAGACAACTTGCGATTGGAACAATTGAAAATTCTGTCCCACGGTCACCTAATAATAATCTCGTAATATTTCCAGATCGACCAGATTTTAGTCACTATGAACCTCGACTCGTCTCGCGACACGCGCACAGGCTGGCTCAGCGGCGGCGAAAGAAAAAGATTGGCCATTGCGTTGGAATTACTCAATAGCCCGCCAATTTTATTCCTCGACGAGCCTACTAGGTACACACGTATACATCTACAGGGTGTCCTAAAAATGTCTTGCAATCCGGAAATGGCGGGTTCCTCAGATCATTTGAAGCAGCTTCTTCCTTTACAAAAATGTTCTCCGAGGCTTCGTTTACGAGTTATTAACGAAAAACACTGACCAATAAGAATCGAGTACGGCTGACGCGAGGCGGCTCAGCCAACCAGCGCACGAAGCCCAGTTCCGCTCATTGGCTCGGTCGCCTCGCGCCAGCCGAGCTCGCCTCTCATTGGTCACTGTTTTTCGTTAATAACTCGTTAATGGGGCCTCGGAGAAAATTTGTATAATGGGGAAAAGTTGCTTCAAATAACCTGAGGAACCCGCCACTTTCGGATTGCGAGACATTTTTGGGACACCTTGTATCTACACGTACGACGAAGAACATCTTCTGCTTGCATTAATCCTTAGAAGATCGAACGACCGCTTTGTTGACCGCTTTAAACGACTCTCTTAATCATAGCCGAAGCGACCACGCAATTATTAATAGCTCGTGCCAATTATCGGCGTCTCGATTGTCCCCGGACATCTGTTAACAAAACCTGCCCAACCGGGAGCCTTTCGATACCGTTAATTAGTCCATTAATAATCCATTTTGTTTTAGCGGATTAGACAGCGTCACCTCAAAGTATTGTATAACGTTGCTGAAGCAATTGGCGAAGTCGGGGCAGACGGTAATTTGCTCGATTCATCAGCCGAGCGCGTCGCTTCTGAGCATGATAGACCATCTTTACGTGGTCGCTGACGGATGTTGCGTCTACAGCGGTAGCACGCAGAATTTAGTGCCTTATTTGAGCAGCCTCGGACTGCATTGCCCGACGCATTACAATCCGGCTGACTATTGTGAGTAAATGAAAATCAGCCTCCCTCTCTCTCTCCCTCTCCCCCCCCTCTCTCTCTCTCTCTCG